ACACTGATTTCAATATGAAGGGAAGGAAAGGAATCCTTTCCCTCTCTCAAGTAGAGCAATACCTTCAAAAGAAATTTGATTTCTAGTTCAGAACGTAATCCTTCCCCTTCCTTGTGGTGTTTTGGTTTTAAAGTACCACTGACACTTTGAGCAAATAGCAGGAAGACCCACTGGAGGAATAAATTATTTAAGAAATAAATCTCTGCCTTACCAGAAGTGTCAGATAACTGCACATAAGTTTAATCAATACAACTGAGTTATAAAATAATTTTTTGTTAAAGTTCTGAGTATTTTGACCTGCTACTGAGCTGATCGGAACTAAGAATTTTATACAATGTGTAACAGCTGCTGGATTTTTTTAGAAAACACAACTATGTGCAACATTTATTTTTTTTTTTTTTCCAACCAGTATTTTTGGACAGCAAATAAAAAGAATTGATGAGAAGTGATCCAAATCACAGAGAACTTGGTATTACATGAACCTGACCTGCAGATTTGTATGAGGAGATGAAGCAGTACCATTCAGAACTGCAGGGATGCATCAGACAGATGTTCAAGGCTGATCTTGAGTTTGAAAATCCATATCCACACAGGACTGTTTGGAATCGAAAAAGCTCTCATGAGTCTGAAATGAATGGATTTTCTCAAGGAATCATTACACGTTGTTTGCCTGTGCTGACAGAGCACATTTAGTCTAAGCAGGAAGCACAAACCCATTGAATTTCTCCTCCACACATGTATTTCTGGCTTAGGAGAATTTAAGTGCAGTTCAGGTTCTTTATTATCTTGGTACAAGCACAAACCCTAAAAAGAGAACTAAGCATGTAAAATAAGACTGAAAGCAAGCTGTTGCTCAAAGTGTAAGTTTTCTGTCTGTGCTTGTGAGGTCAAAATGAGAAGCAGCTGATCCCCTGTATGGTTTATCAAAAATAAATTAACTATAGTGACAGACGGGCTGTTTCCAACAAATTTTGTAGCCTTTTGTGGTTGGGAAGAGAACTACAAAATAAGGTACGGGTAAAACAAATTCAGAAGATATTTTGGGAGAAGTGAAAGGAGAAAGTGCATTGCAAATGAGCTGATTGACAAAAAATGATGTTGGGGGTGGGGTGAGGTTTACAGCCAAAGCTAGTGGTTGAAGCAGTGCCCCAAGCAACATGCTTTAGTGCTTGTAAGTACAGCTGCCAAAAAAGCAGAGGGTACATTACAAACACAGAAGTAGTATCCTGTATAACAGCAATCCCCTGGAGAGGTGAGGGTGGAAATCAGCTAAATCTCCATTCTGGCTTTTTCGAACCAGGATCCTTGTTTTCCAAACAGAAACACGAGCCTTTCAACACAGCTGCACCAAGTAGAGGGACAGAGAAAAGCCCTTCCACAGTCAAAACAGATGTCTTCAAATAGTCACGGGAATAATGAGAAATACCAGCCACGCTGTGTCACAAACTGTAACTGGGACAGCCAGTTATTTGGTGACGAACTTCGGCAGCTCCAGCGTGTCAGACTGCCTCGGCAGGCTGGGGGACGGTTAACAGGCACGCCGCACACCTGAACCATCCCCGCTCCGCGCCTGCCGCCTGCTGCTGCTCCACGCAGGACAAACTCTGCCCTCCCACCCCTCGGTTCCCCCCAGACCAACCCGCGGGCTAAGGAGCTTTTTGAGGAGGATGTTTGGAAGGGACGCTTAACAACCCGGGTAGCTGCCGGCAGCGTGTGCAGTTGCAGGCATGCCTGCGAAAGCTGTTCCTCCCTAATATAGGGAACCCCCAAATTAGGTGGAAAACTGCATCTGAATCATGTAGAAACCAGAAACAATGTAGTTATGCCTGATGGGTCGAACACAGGCTGGCAAGGATTCTCTCAGAATAATTAAAAAATGGATTCCCTGGGAAGCCTCACAGGTGCCCTAAGCATAACTTGAGCATTGTGAGCACAAAGAGAAAGGGATCAATGAAGTGTAGGCACATTCTAGGATAAAAACTTGCAAGTTTCATTTCGGAAGGGTCCAAACTGAACTTTTAAAACATTTATTTTAAATAAGTGAAATATGAAAATACTATGAATTTATTTGTATATAACAATAACACTTTAATATTTAGTCAAGGAACCATGAAAGCTAAAAACTCACTGTTTACATTAAGAACTCGCCCATTACAACTTAGTACTTTAGTGATGACAAATCCTCTGGCGGGGTATGGAAATGCTTGTATGACTATGGTGTGGCTCTTTGGTGGGTGGAAGCAAACGAGGATACTTGTGACACGGGCTCCCACCGTTTCTGGGGCGTGAGGCTTCAGGAGCATCGGGCAAAGCGTTGGGCGTTTGTCTGGGTTCAGCTCCGTTAGAGCCGGACTGGGGCTGGGGGCTACAGCGCGATGGGTCAGGGGAAGGACCGGGTGGGTGGTCCGCTGAGACCCCCGAGCATTTGTTAACACCTGCCGTGAGGCAGAATGTCCTGCTGATTAACTAGCACCAGGTGAGTCAGACTCGATTACAAACTTTTTTGTCATGAGTCATAAACACATTTAAGAACTATTTCAGTGCTACAAGGTATTCCAGGTATTCCATCTTAGAGCTAGTGTTTAGCACAACCTAATTATTCCACAGTAACAATATTCTCACTAGTGACACCACGACAGCAAAACAAAGGCTAAAGTTTTACTCAAATTTTAAAAGTTTAAACAGCTTTTTTAATGGCCACACCTCACTAACATGCTGAATATTGCCCATGCCTAGCTTTATACATGTTAGAGTTGTTAATATAAGCAATAAAGAACCTAAAAAAAATACAAAAGGGCATTACTGAATCATTTAAAAAAATACTTATTTATAATTAAAGTTTTGTCAAAAACTATTGTGATCTTTTATAACTGCAGATAATGAAAATACTCAGGAATTACTCTGCAATTTTACAGTACTGAAGTGGAAGATTAAAAATAATAATTTCATTCTTATTTATTTAGATTGTGGAAGCATCTGTGTTTTCTTAAAAAGTACAATATGGCTAATGTTAATTCTAAAAGCTTGACAATATCGCTTTTTTATGCAAGCTACTGCAACAAGTTTTCATGTACAGAATCTGTATTCAGAGGGAAAAAGAATAAAAAAAAAATCAATAATCATAATAGTTATGTATGTGAAAATCTATAGCCATACAGTGAAAAAATACTACAAAGTTAACACAAATGAGCAAAATTCTGTCACTGTACCAATTACTGCACTGCAGCACTTTAAGAAAACAAAACAAAACAAAACAACCAACCAAAATTTTTTTTTTTTTTTTTTAATGTAGAAAAATCCTTATCTTGGTAGGTGCTATTGCCAATAATGCGGTTCATGTTGGTAAAACTGTGACTGCTACTCAGAGGCCGAGCACGGCACTGATTACAGCTGCAAGCTCAGGCTTTCTACTTCATACTGTTGCAACTCATCCCATGTTATACACCACTAACAGGGATTTATTTCCCCAAAATGAATGTGACTACCTTTCTTTCACAGCAAGTGATCTGAATGTTTGTGATAGGCAAAACAAAACTAGATATTACTCCGAGTGGTACAGAAGAGGAAAATTCAACTCTTAACTAGTGAGAATCTTACTCAATTTATTTAATAATCCATAATAATTTTGTAAGTGTATATTATAGCAACAGAATCCATCAAGGAGCATGTATGCCCTTTATAGTAATGGTCCAAATCCTCTCAACTAAAACAACTCTAGGTTTCTATTAATTATAATTTCTGATAGTTTTATTCCAATAAATACAAAGCGAATTGAAATGAAATTTTTTTTTTTTTGCTATTGGGAAAACCACATGACCAGGAAATAATTTGTTCATGAACAAGAAAATAATTGCATTACTTACTAAAAAGAAGATGCTTTAATATAAATAGCATCAGAAATGGCTAACAGACAACTTCATTTTAGTCTGCATCTATATGATTTTTTTTTTTTTTTAATCATTTGGGAGTTTCCTTGTGAAGCATTTTCAACTCTATTAGTAACATGTGACATGCCATACAACCCCCTCTATTCTCAAAGTATGAATTTCCCACTATAAAAGCTGCTCTTGGCCCTGAGAATTACGGTATTTCATTGTTTGCTACAAAGCTTCCAGCGCTGCAGAATGACTTCTGCTTTTTCTGCTTCTCCCTACTTTAACAATATCTACTTTAGCCTGAGAGGCTTTTTGTACAATGAAGAAAACACCATTAACAGTGAAAACAAAAAGGTGCTAAAATACTTCTGGTTCAGAAAAATTCCAGTGGTGAAACAGCAAAAAGGCATTTCCCATAGGAACAATTACTAACTAGATTCTGAGGAGTTATTAATAATTTCAGTTTAATGTGTTTTTTTTGTACATGAGAATATTTGGAATACTGTTACTATTCCTCACAAATCGAATAATGTATTAGAATTCAGCAAGCTACTTTAATAAAAACAGCCTCCTACTATAAATTAAATTTATAAAAGAAAAGAAACATACTAGAAAAAGATTTACTAATTGAGGAACACCTGTTTTAGATAAATACATTTGAAAACACAGCAGAGTTTAACAGTCCCCTAAAAAGTTTAGCTGGTTTAGATTTTTTCTGTTTGCAAATACACTGCTTTTCTTATTCTCTAGGAAGGCAAACTGCTTATGAAAGGCTGTGGCAATGCAGTTGAAGCAAATGCTTCTGAAAGCTTTCAATCACATTTTTTCAATTTACAAAAATGTGAAAACATCTTTTAATTAGTAAAAAAAATAGTCTAATATACAAACATTTTTTTAAAAATTAATTTGTGAAGGAATGTAGCGTAACTACCCAGACTCATACCCATTCACCCTTCAGATACTGGTAGCTATCTCCTCTTGACACAAATCTCTCTATATTAACCCAGAGAAATGCACACATGGCCAGTTAGCCCAAGCAGAATAGTCATTCAGCTTTCCCCAGATTTAAACTATCATAAATTACCATTTGGACAGCATTAGAAAGAAATTGAAGCATACAAGGAATAAACTATAGTTTCTTTTTATATCAAAATGTACTCTTGAAAACGTGTTTGGCACAGTGCTAAATCATATAGTTAATACTAAATATTGCAGGATACAATAAAACCCTGGAGTTAACTTGTGTTTACACCCTTTAAGGGATAAAAATAAAAAGATACCAATTATTCAGAAGTTCGCCTATACAAACTGTATAAACAATATTTTATGTCTTGTTTCGAAAACCACTGATATAGTAAATTTTACATAAAAGACTGCAAAATAATATAAATGGATTTAAACAGATCTTTACAATAAGAAATTCAAATGGAAACAGACAAGTAACAAAGAGAAGTAAAAAAATTTATTGCAGTATTTGTTCCACCAGATTTGCTGGGGATCCCTTTTCTTGTATTATTTCAGGGTGACCTAATACATCAAAATCTACATTTACAAAAACTCCTCCTCCAGATAGGTCATAGATACTGCATGCTTTTTTTTTTTTTTCTTTCTTTTTTTTTTTTTTTCCCTCCTTTTCTTCAACAGAATAAATTATATATCCAGGAGATTCTGCCATTTTACAGCCTGGAAAAACAATGCTTCCCTGGAAACTGGGCTAAACTAAAGAAAGCCATCCGCTGCTAGGTTAAACTCCAAGAACACTTTATTAAGAACATTAACAGACTAATTTCCAACATTCACTTGTTTATTTTTTTTAAACAGAAAGGTTTTTTTCAAGATATAAACAATTTTTTTTTTTTTGTTAAACTATAATACAGTGGGAGTAAAAATGAACTGAGAAGTTTCTGCTGCACAACAGCGAAGGAAGCTCCCACAAAAATGTTTACCAAACATTTCCTTCTTTTTTCCCGTGTCCCAGGTTCCATTCTTACTCTTCATTTAACTGATTTTTTTTTTTGCCAGAAAGTTGATATTTCAAGTTTTTCTGTTATTTCAATTCCTGTAAATTTGGCTGCATGTACAAATTCATTAGCTGGAAGTTCCATCCTTGGCAGCATACAGCGATCGTAAAGTCTGCACAACTTTATTAGTCAGCTTATTAGCACTCGTTAGAGCAATTTTTTTGTAAATAATGTCTGACTCTTTAATAGTGTCTACCCAAGGCACCAGTTTACGGCCATCACGGCGCTTAGCCTCAGTCCAGGAGCCACTGTAGGAGCCTGCCATCCACTGAACACTGAAGCCATTGCTGGTTTTCTGTACTACTCTTGCAATTTGTGGTCGGTCTTTGTACTTTGGACAGCAAATAGCGATGACATCCATGACATCAACACTTTCATTCATCTGTGCTGCCAACTCCGTAGAGTCTGAATTTCGTTTTGACCTTCTCAATGACTAAAACATTGGGGGGAAAAAAGACCAAGTGTTACACAAAAGAACTTTAGTGAAATTATTGCTTTTATTGCTTTTAATCCCTTGACGCCGGGAGTTGGGATTTCCCGGCACACATTCCATTGCCGGCAATGAGACGCACCGCGACCGCCAGCGCCAAGGGGTTAACATATCCTTGTAAAACCACATACTCTTAATTTGTACCCGTGTCTTTATCTCTTATTGATATATAAAATTATATATACACATGAATCATAAAGCTACATAAAAACTTGGCAACAATAAAAAGGATAACACACAGTACATTCCAAAGGAAAATTAATAACTTTTTATACGGGATAAATCTCATTTTCTAGTTTGGTTTTTTTTTTTTTTTTTATTGTCTTTTCTGTTAAACTTTCTACAAAAGTTGTATAAACGGTTAAGTAGAGAATCTCTATCTACAAAATGCTTTCTTTCATGTGGATTACATTACTTGGTGTACATTTAATATAATAGACTGACATTTATAAGCACATAAAAATCATTTTACGTAATACGCTGCGAAATACGTTGACTCCTCCTCCGCCTCACCCCTGAAGTGCCTCCTCCTCTATCCTCCCCATCACTTTCATCGTCCTCTGTCTCAGCTGCATTGTTTTTAGGGCTGCCTCCTCCAAGCAGCGAGGTAATTGCTTTGTTCCGAGCATTTGTGCTAGCTGACACCTCTCCATCTTCTTCTTCTTCATCAGGATCCAAATGTTCCATAAGGAGCTTGAACTATTAAAAAAACAGATTAGCCAATGTTGTAACTTTAAAAACAGACATTTATATCACACTACATTAAATAAAATACAAATGGCAAGGTAAAAAACAGGGTAAAACAAATGGCAGACAACTTCAAACTTGAACACCTTATGTTTTGTTCTACAAACTTTTTACTTTCCTCTCTTTTTTTAGGAGACATGCAAAATCTTTCTTCCCGTGTTTCCAAAAATTGCAAGTTTTTCTAACTTATATTTAAAGATGCAGGGGGTATGTGTGTACATGTGTGTGTAATAAATACACTATATCTAATCTCTGTTCCTGTGATGGAAATAGTCAGGGTTAAAGTGAACAAGTTATATGGGAGAGGTATACAAGATGGATACCAGAAATTAGAAAATACTCCATAAAGATGAATAACCTTTAGTTGAAATGAATTTTCATTGTGTTTAAAATTATTGGAAGTCTTTGAAAGATAGTCCTGCTAAACATCCTGAAAAGAAGTGGTGAGTTATTAGTCTATAGCATAAGATTACCAGGAACTTAACATTTTGAAATGTTCGTCCAATACATCAGCATCTCCTTTCAAGTTTACACTGTGTTACCTAATTTGAAAGGAATTCAGGTTTTCTGCAAAGCAATTTTACTTACATCTAAGTACTGTTTTACTATACTCCTCTTCACTTCTTCAGTGATCTTGGAATTAGCCATATCACTCCGCAGAAAATCCAGAGTTTGTTTTGGATGGAAATGCACTCCTGTCTTCCTGTTTATCGCTTTATCATAAACTTTTGCAGATTCAGATGGAGAATATTTCTGAATTTTACTGTTTAAAGAAAACAAAAAGGAATAGCTTTTAAGGAAAGTCCAAAGTAATTCCAAGGAAAAGCTTTTAAAATCTTCAATATATTTTAATCATTCCACATACAATAGACATCCTGGTAACAAATTAAATCATTGCTTTTTCTAAGCCAAAGTTTCATTATATTCAATTTATCATTTTTATGTTTTTTCTCTTACATAAATCTATTGCTTAAACAATTAGTTACAATCAACTTTCAAAAAAACTTCCAAACTTAATCCTTACAGAGAACTCACTAGATAACAAGATGGCCTGTTATCTAAATATCCTTACCTATCAGAGAATCCACAGAGGTTCTTTAAATGCTGTTTCAGCATCAAAAGTAATAATATACCTTGGGAGACATTTGCAAATTCAATTAAAGGAGCTGAATTTTCTGGTAAACATTTCATTACTGCATTTATATCATTTTCTTCATCGGAATCTGAATCAGAGTCTACTCGTTTCCGTAACCTCCGAGGCTTAGAAGCTTCCTCCTCACTTTCGCTCTCACTACCACTGTTACTGTCACTCTCAGTCTCCTCATCTGATGAAGGTTTTCTTTCCTTTTTTTTGTCTTTCACCATAGACTGCAAGACAGAGAAGTTAACACACATTCCAAAATTAGAGTAAGTAGCATCATGTATGTTTCTAAAAAATTTTTACAAAATCATTACTAGCTTAAATTAGCAAGAAACCCCTGAACAACGTCATTAATTTATAACTCAATATTAAAAATTAAAATTATTTATGGCAAAAAGATGCTGAAAAATTGATCCAAAGCCCACATTTTTTAGAAGGTGGGTACAGAAGGATCTGAAGTAACAAGTACAATAAGAAGTATGGCATGTTATACTTAAAAGACTCCTCAAGTTCATTAGCTGTAACAGCAAAATGTAGTAGAAGGCCAAATACAATAAATCAGGAAGAAAATTCTGTTTTTCTTTTACTTGGATAGAATTTTTGTGTGTCATTCAGATTTCTGTATGTACTTTGGTACAGGCTAGTCCCAGCTATTTTTAATCTTTGTCTCTTAGAATTCTATGACACTAATTACACTGCTGACCAGAGAAACCCTCAGATGTTCATACACAATAATAATCAGTTCTACTACCTGTAGAGCTACAGAATTTCACACGTGCATTATTATTGCACATAGTATGATTTTTCATAACACAGAACTTAAGATGTCCTAAGCAGGATCTCATCCTTTCTGCCCTGAGTGCTACACACTGGTCCCCAATCTGAAGAATGGACTCTTTCTAGCTGATTAAAAATCGACTTTGTTAGGGTGAGAATTCAAAGCAGTGTACTCTCTAGGCATCAACTCTGACTTGTACTTACTAGTCAGATTGGACATTCTAGAAAGGGGTTTGTTTCCTAACATTTTGCACCTTCTACTGTTAAAGTTGTCCAGGAAATGAAGACACTGAAGTCTTTAAGAAGCAGAGGCCTTTTTCTTACAGGGTTGTGTATTGCCATAACAACAGATACTATACCAGGATTCAGGTTCTTATACACTAGCTTAAGAAAAGACATTGTGCACTCTTTTCTCTCAATAAACAATGTACTTAGTCTCTCAGGTGACACACATGCAACTGGCATCAGCTACTTGACAAAATAAACAGCCAACTGGATTTCATTATTAAAATTATACAAGCATCCACAATAAACTATTATCTCATTATGATTCTGAGTTCATGTACTTCTAGATGCATGCAATTAATTATTACTCAGCCATATCAGGGAATGATATAAATTTGATGCTAAGATCTCCAAATTCATCATTCTTTTTTAGTAATGTAAGAAGCAATGTAAAGAAAGTTTTTAACTAGTGTCTACCAGATGTAGACCAGAACAGAAAGGGTTGCTTGTTTTTAACTACTGGTTATAAAGTAATGCTGCTGGACCATATCATAATAATGGTACCGTGTTCACTGAAAAATCTACCAAATTAGAGAAGCTTATGTTGCTACCATAACAAATATACTAAAATATAAATCCACATACCTCTTTAAATGACTGTAGTAGGTTGCTACCAGAAACTGATAGTGTAATGTCTATATGATGCATTATAAACAGTGGCTCTTCCTGTGTTTGATAAGGAAAACAGGCTAGATTGTCTGCTATGTACAATAGCATATTCACCTCTGTTTTCTGGAAGTTAAAAAAAAAAGTACATATAAATACACATAAAATTATCCTAGATGTATACACTTAGACTGTGCTGCCAGCAGTCTAGAGCAAAAACATGATCACAAATTTTATTTTGCACATAGCCCCAAACCCACTTTAAACAACATTTATATATGCAAAATTTAGTCATACCTGAAGATACATTAGATCTGATCAGTTCACACTGAGTACAGAAAGATACAGAATGATGCAAAAGTAACAAATGCATTCTATTATAAAGTAGTATTATATAGGTAAATATCTTATATTACAAAGCAAAACAAAGCACATCAGGGAAATAAATATATCAAAAATTATGACACAAAAATACATTGTAAAAGGAGAATTTAAGCTTGTAATGCTGTGTTTTAATTTATTTTTGAGTGAAGGAAATGTGATGCTTACTGCAGTATCATCAAAGAGGTTGAGTAAAGAAATTAGAAACGCTCGTCTGTGTTGACGGTTCCCTCGGATCATGGAGTATAGGTGTGAACACAATGCACTGGATGATTCATCATGTCGAAAACCTCTTACAGGATCTTTTGGGCAGGTATTGATTGCCTGCTGTACCTGGTAAGACATCTTCATACCAGCCACAGCTTTCATCTGAAATGGAAATGTATTTATTTAAACCATTGCTTTGAAAGCAGTAAAACTTTTTTTGAGTGGCTGTTTATCTGAAGTTTTAACTTTAAAACATGCACTGAGGTGATACTACTTTTTGAGCTGGCAAACGGATTAAAACAGAACTCATGGTACAGAGCAGAAAGTCTTGTGAATTGGTCTCACTATAAATTCTGTTAGAAACAGACAGACAATCTGTTTACCCACTACAGCCAGGTAGTCCATTTTAAACAATTTTCAAGAATACTGAAATTTTTTCATACATGAACAGCATATTTTATCAAATGCTTGATGTCACTTGAGGTAGAACCAACAACTGAGTCTATATTAGTATAAGAGGACTTGCAGAGCCGCGGAAGAACGACACGCCGAGATGGGTTCAATGTGGGTGATAGAGCATCATATATCTTTATTGGTCCAGGGTACATATATTTATACAGACAACGCTAATTATTATGCCTACTAGTCACTAGCTGATTGGCTTAAGCTCTAAAGGTCGTGTTTGCATGGTCCACCTACTTGCAGTTAGCTAACAGCACAAGCTTCTCATAACACTAAGTTTCTCATGCCACTATTTCTAATTCCTCTTTACTTGTTTTCAATACACAACGGTACCATAACACGAAGTTTCTCAGGCCACTGTTACCATAACACTAGGTTTCTCCGGCCACTATTTCTAATTCCTCTTAGCCTGTTTTCGACACACCACCGTACACAAGGCCGAAATGTCCTTGACATTCCTCATGTATCAGCAGCTGCGAGCAGCTGCAGGCAAACCCTAGTGAGGCCCAGCACCAGCGAGGCAGCATCAGCCCCTAGAACAGGCTCTGATCGTACAACTGCTCGGTGGGCTCATGACCCTTGTCTCTGAGCCATTCTCCAACAAGGACTAACAAACAGAAAATGAGAAGGTTCTTGCATACATCTTGTAATTTCCGGCTGATTTTATTTACTTCAAGGCTCCTGCTCTAGCTTCAGAACAAACATAGTCTCTAGGTAGGCTGCATATCCAACTCTCCTCATACCACCCCTATACGTTGTCTTAAATCCCAGTTGCCTACATAGCAAATTTCATCTGTTAGCCTTCGCCTACTGGATTAAATATCTGTTTGGAAGCCATCAACAGTGTAATGCTCCAATGTCAGTGGAATACAATCAGATTTGGGAAGTCCCACAGTATAGTACAGATGCTGAACCTAGACTGAGGCCTTCTGAAATAAGGAGAAGGTGCTGCAGCTCACTTTCAGATCTTAAGCAGAATTATTGGCACTATGTCTCAACTCCACAAGTCCTCACCTAGCCCTCAGATTTTCCTTTCAGCAAGATTCCTCAGATTTAAACAGCTTCCTATGCTCCTTCTGCTTAAGTTACAATTTATAAAGCCTTCAATGCCTTAATGTCCTAATACATTTACACTAAGGACTTCCACTTTTACAAGGTGTTCTCTTCCCTGGTTCACTGATAGAGGAAAATCATTGCTAAACATTATGAAATAGCTGTCCTTACCTCTTACCAAATAAATGCTCTTAGGTATTATTCAGTGAGGAAAATATTACTGTGAATTACAAATTAAAGGAAATTTTGGGTGGGAGGAGACACTTCAAATTATTATATCCTTTCTATTTCTAAGAATGAGAAATCTCCAAACAGGGTGAAGAGTTGAGATCATCTTTACAACTGCTTATAGTTATTATTTCTTTCTTATTTTATATTCTTTTTCTGCAGCTGAGGCATATTCAAGTGTTAAACCACTACCAAACATAACAGTATTTTGTAAAATGTTAAAATTAGAACTACTTACGTGAATGAACCCAGCATATTTTTTGTCTATTTCCACCAACTGCTGGTCAGCTTTATTTCGCATAGAGGGCTCTGGATCTGTGCCCATAGCAATTAAGTATGGCACACACTTGAAAAACAAACAAAATGATTATTCAGAGTCACTGTATCTCCACTTTATCAGTCTTTGTGCTTCAACTACACTATTGTTCTTGTTATATTCTGACTACTGCAGAAACTAGAATAGGAAGCTCTACACAATTTACTACCTGACTACTTTTTGCAAGCAAATAGAACAAAAGACGTGAGAGACCAGCATTACAAGTGACAGAAGTTGTGTGAGGTTTCAGGTAGTATTTTCCCTTCTCTCAAACTCTAACGTCAATTTACAGTACAAAAAATGTCATTTAAAAAACCCCACAAAACCACTACTTAAGACTGCACATGCACCATGGCTGTAGTATAAGAAATAATTACAAAAATATTATGTAAGCAAATAATAATGGAGATGATGTCTGAAGTTCTGACATTGTCTGTGGAATTCCATAGTGTTTGGAGGTGGTGGCAAGCTGACGAATTTTCCAGGATAAGGAATCAAATGAAGAAAACAACTTGGCATACACCCGAAATTTGTAACAGAAGTATGCTCCAGTGTACATCTGTACATGCTCTTTACGCACTGGCTGGGCTTTGACAACTTGATGCAAAACAGAAAATAAAGCTTTTGGAATCTCACTGGCTAAACAACATAAAACAGATTTTAAAACACGCTTTCTATAAAGGCCCCTTGCTACAATAAGAAATTACTGTAATGTAGATGGAAGAGAAAAACTGGAAATCTACATAGCAAGTGTGAATATCTCTGAAAACCTGAATAACAAAAACTCCCATCATAAAAGTCTACCATACCTGAACAGGATGGATGAGACCCTGGTTTAATGTCAGTGCAATGACATTTAGAGCAAAGTGGCGTACACTGGACTGGGTATGAAAGAAAGCCTCAAGGACCTGTTTGAGATATAGCTGCATGATGGAACTACTCATCCCTGAGGAAATATCACCCATCTCTTTCAGGTCTTCCTGTTTTGCTACTTTTTTCCCTGTAAAAAGGACAAAAGCAGTAACACACTCAGCACAGTATAATAAATTACTTTGCCATTACTTCAATGTTGATCTTTAAGCTTTACAATACATAAACATTTAAGCTGTCTTCAAATGGGTTTATGAAACATAGAACAGTCTGATAGTAAATATATGTCAAAAAAACAGAGACATGACTTTAAATAAAGTCTTGTTGCTTAATAAGGGGTTTTAATTTAAAAAATTTCTTACATTGTATTTATTATTTTCTATCTGCAAATTAACCTTCGAGGAGATTTTGATAAAAAGTATTATACATCTTGAAAGTAAATATAACTATTATGTGTGTATACCTATGCATGTAATGAATTTTTGAAAATTATTCTAAGATACTTTGGGTACAGTATTACTGATCGGATAACAATCTTAAGTGACTCAGTTACTACAGTAGTTGTATACACGAAAGTAAGGTTTTGTATGCTTCATTAGCACTGAAGAACTCAACACTTACAGTCTCTGTCTGCCTGCTGCATACGTGTATCCTCCTCCTGCAAGTAAGTCTGAAGGTTTTTTAACACCTGGATTTTTAAGTTTACTGAACAGTTCTTATCTGAAAGAATGCTGTTGTACAGACTCTTCACCTCCTGTTCGAACATTAAACTTGGGTGTTGTATAAACGCAAATCCTAAGGGTGGAAAAAAAGAGGAAATATTCCATGTTATTATCACCTACAAATTATATTTCTGCTTTCTAAGTCCTTCTTCAAAATAGATGTATGAAATTTATCTGCTCACAACAGCATAGCTTTTTCTAGTCCAAACAGTATTGTTTTTCTATATGGACACCATCCATAGCTTATAAGGAGTTCTGTTAATTATGACAGTTCTATGAGACATGACTGATGGATAAAGATGTGTTGTCAACCCAGGGCAGCTGCACTAAGAAGAGTTCTACGGGGCTGAAAGCATGTCCAGTGTAGCAGCCTGCATCTAAATGACTAGCAGCTCTCACAAGAACAAGGGAGTAACATTGCTGAAAATTACCTGTTGTTTATCTAATACTTTGTATAAAAATCATTCTGCTAAAACTGTGAAGAATCTCATTCATATACAGGCAGAAGAAACGTGGAAAAATTGATATCATAAATATTTTAAAATAAAATCTTAAAAAGAAAAAAAGTCAACAGTGAACACAGTAAAATTTACACCTCTTGCTCTAATTATTCATACATATTATCAAGGTCTTCTCTTGAAAACTACCTGAAGCATTCCTAAGACTACATCTGTTGGAAGATACACACTATAGAACTGTTTTTAGCTGCAGCCTTACCCTCGTAAAGGAACTGCTTGTTCTTAGTCTATATTTCATAAAAACTTCGCTGAGTTAGTGACAGTATATACCATTTTAGATCATAGATGGAGATTTAGAAGTGCTGCTGACAAACTCGTACAGAATATCATAAAGAAACAGTATTGGGAATATAACTTCTCAATTTAAATTATGTTTAACTATTTGATTTTTATTTTAAGACTGTTCAAGAAAAAAAGACATGAAATGTATTTTTTATGATCACAGGAAACCAAGATTCTGAATGAACACACAGAAAACATATGAACATAAAAGAATAATGAGGGGGAAAAATAAAAGCAAACAAAACTATGTAAAAGCAATATATAAAAATAGCTGTATCAAAGGGAAGACTGAGTCAAGTTTTTAAAACCAGCTCCACACACAGAGAAAAGACAGTGTATGTACAGGCTAAGTCCAGGACAAGACCTCATTGTACTTTGTCCTGGGATGAGTGAGTGGTGGAGTTTTTTGGTGGCAGGGGAGGGGGCTATCGGGGCAGCCCCCTGTGAGAAGCTTCTCGAAGCTCCCCCAGCTCCACGTCAGCTCCACCTCTGTTTGGAAAATTGACCCAATCAGCTGCGCCTCTTCGATAACGTATTTAAGAAGGGACGTGGTGATGGGCAGTCGGACTTGTGAGGAGGAGTTGCTGCAGCTGCATGAACACCAAGGTCAGTGGAGGAACGGAGGAAGAAAGGAGGGGGGAGGTGTGCCGGAGCAGAGACCCCCCCTGTATCCTGTGCTGAAATGGCAGGGCGGCCCCCGCTGCCACCCATAAAGATCTACGGTGGAACAGACATTGATTTATGGCCTGTGGCTCCTGCTTGTCTGATCAAGGTTCTGTGCCCGAAGAAGGCCAGGGTCTCATGGGAAAAGGAAGCCCCGCTGCTGTAATTCAGCACTGGGAGGATTGCAGCATGTGGGGGAGTCCCACACCGGAGCAGCTCGGGAAGGGCTGCAGCCGTGGGAGGGAATCCAGTTGGAGGAAGTTAGTGACCCACGACGGAGCAGTGTGGGGAACGCTGCAGCCCATGGGAGGAATTCAAGTTGGAGAAAGTTTGTGGAGGACTGTCTCCTGTGAGAGGGGGACCACGATGGAGCAGGAGGAACAAGTTTCGGACACTTCCCTCACCGAAGATGAAGGAAGTGGCAACGCTGACTGCACCCCCCATTCCCTGCCCCTGCACCGCTGGGGGAGGTGGTAGAGATATCGGGAGCAGAACTGAGCCCGGGAAGAAGGGAGGGGTGGGGGGAAGGTGTTCTCAAGATGTGGCAATGCTTCTCACTGTCCTACTCTGTTATGTGTTGTTAGTGTCTGTAATAAATGTATGTTCTTTTATTTTCTTCCCATAACGAGTCTGCCTTTTGCTCGTGACCATAAAGGGGAATTTTCTCCCCATCCCAGTCCTATCTCGGACCCCAAGCCTGGCTCTCTGTCCCTTCTCATTGCCGGAGGGGATGGGAGAGAGAGCTGCTGCATTGTGGTTGGCTGCCAACCAGGCCCAAACCACAACATATTTAAGGTCTCATTTCAGTTTCAAAACAAGAAGAAGAGAGAAGCAGTTGAGGTGGAGGGGAAAGAGGAGAAAAAGAAAAAAGAATTATGATGGTCTTTGGTATATGTGGTATGATTGTGCACTTTGTACAGGTGTATATTGATGTTTATAACTTGACCACCTCTGAGCAAGTCCAACCCATTCTTTAAAGTTCATTTTAAAAATGAAAAGTGTGTGCATATATGTGCAATAACCCATAACTTTTTTTCCTTCATTCACTTAAAGGAGTCTAAACCACCAGTATTGTCAGAGAAATTCTTATTTTTCCATCTCCTGTAGGCAGGGAAGAAATCTTACTTCGTGTAAGAATTTGTCATAGGAGATGAAAAAAGGCACATGCTGTGTTCTGTCAAGGACTGACTTCACATCTCACGGCTGCCTCACACCACTTCATACCTTCGTTTTCACTCTGTTGAGGTCTTAAGTGTAAGCACTGAACTTGGCTGAGTAAGACATTACCTGTTAGATACTTAGAGATTTAGCTAAATTTATTAGCAAGATTTTATATCCTCAATCTGCCTTGCAAGTACACATCTGGAAGAGAAACATATCTATAATCATTAAGATTATGGTTAAGCTTAATCCCTTAACAGCAGTGACATATTCCAAAGCAAAGGCTAAAACTGTTGAGTGTCCTTACTGAAATGACACACTAATAAGTGCTGATAGGAAAATACATACTCATCATATGATGTCTTCACTGTATATAAATGTTGAATCAGCTTGCTAGTCTTTTTCACTTTACTGCTGTACACACACATTGAATGGCTTCGACAATGTTGCTCCATTACCAGCCTGTAAGGTGGAACTTTGCACTGTCTACCCCATCTCAATACATCCAACAGCTGCCCTCAAAATGGAACCAGTACTTCGATGAGATCAATATATCACTGAAAACAGTTGTCTGAGTTTTAATTAAAGATTGATATGCTTACAGGCAGAGAAAAAAAAAATCTGAAGAATGTCTACTGACAGCCACCACCATTTTCTGATCACAGTTCAGTCTATAATTTAGAAACATTTTTGGCAAATGCAACATTCTCCACATCCATAAGCAAAGCAATCATGCCTATGGTTACAAAGACATCCTCTATCCCACATACAATATTCTGTAGAGGACAATTGAATTGGGCTGGACTACAGTGAGTGTGGAGTTGTACACCTTGATGTAACATCTAGAAAATCTCCAACTAGCCCATAAAACCACAGCATTGCTTCTGCAAGAGGCAATTCTGAAGCCAATAATCCCACTCAGCTGTCTTAAATAGTTTCTCATAGAATATAAAATCAAGATTCAGTCTTGGTCCTTATCCTCAGAACTCTCTCTAGTCTGAATTGAAGCAGGATATCTAAAAAGCCACCTAAACAGTAACATAAAGAGAAATTCTTGTCCACAGTTAAACGGTGCAACTCAAGCTTACATACCTGGGTGAGAGCTTTTACACTAAACCATAACCATGAACTGAACTCTTCCAGAAACCAAGGCCTATCTGTCCAAACAAGATTCCCTCTCATGTAAGTTTCTGACCTTAAGAGGAGGATGAACATGACACAAACCACTCAATGGCAGTTCATGTACTACTGCAAGTCACTGAAGTACAACACTATTGTCTTCAGATAAAGAATCAATTTAAAAAGTGAAATACAGCTAAAATCCCAAAACAAACTGTATTATCTAGCCTATGGCATCATCTCAATGTCTTGTGAAATCTCACAGAGCACCCCTCAATTGATATAAACTGCTAGAGTTCACTTGACTCCTGCTGAATATCTTCTCCTACGCTTACAATGTTCAAAGTTTTTCCAGCACCTTTTCTAGTTCTTTAACCATACCTTCTGGACTGAAAAACAAGATTTGAAGTTTAAACATACTTGCACGTGAAGAAAAAATAACATCTCCATTACTACGGAAATCCACTGCACTTTAAGACTTAGTCACACATCAGAAGGCATTCACTGTCAAAAGCATCCACTCTGCTGCAAAGTATAAAACTAGCAAACCCTTGATGACTTTTTTATAGCCAGTTCTCAAATAAAACACACAGTAAATTTTGATTTTAAACAAACTCCCTTGCCACTACACAAATATATGAATTCCTACTGAAATGTGTGGATTTTTACTATAGCAGAATAATAAAAATTATTAATATTTCTTACCAAGGCCAATAATGGCTTTTGTCTGTACTTCTTCATCTGAATGCTTTGTAAAATACATCAGCAGTTCAAGTACTTTATCCTTAATGTTAACCTGAGCAAATTAAAACAAAAATAATAGCTGTTTGAAGATGAAACAGATGTTTTTAGTCTCTTATAAAAAGCATAAATATCAAAAAGAAAAGGAGAAACACAATCTTACTGCATGGCCTTTGCAAACCCATGTATTTTAAACCAAAAAAACTATTGTATGCATTGTGAAAAAATACATAGCTTTGAGGGATTGGGATTAATGTGCTTTCAAATTAAAGTGGATCATTCAGTGTATCTAAGACATGGACAGTAAATACAAATCACTTTACCTTACTGTTTCCCTTAAAATCTTCTTGATCAAAATCAAAATGCCGACACAGTGCTCCAACAGTGAAAAGTGATCTAAGCAGTGCTGGTTTATTGGCAGTAAGTATTGTACTGTTGGGGTCTTCTTGGTGTTGACTTTTTAATTTTGAAAGTGCACCTAGAGTAACAAAAAAGTTTTGATCACAGTGTTTAATTGTGGTATCTCTAAAGCTAAGACTTGTAGCCAAAACCAAGAACTGACAATTACATGTGATTTTACTTACCATAGTATCTATTAAAACAGGCCCACACAAATTTATAGTTCTGGGTGACCTTGTTCACAACAGCCCCAAGACAGCTCACACAATGCTGAACAACCTAGGACCAAGAAAGAGCAAATTAATTATATATTTAGAAGTTAAAACTGAGATTTTTGTGAAGTTATGTAGGAAAAAGCTATGCTGAACTAAAATTAATGATCTAAAGGATGTGAAGTCTATCTGCTAGACTGCTCTGAAAACCCGCTCAAACTCATTAAAATATAGCAGCAACACATGCAAAGTTAAAGAAAACAAGTACATTGATTTTTCATGGCTCAAAAGTTATCTTCATAATGAAGACAGACTTTTTTTAAATCAAACCCATGTATTTTACAATGTGAAATAGAATCAACTGAATAATAGCAACTAAAACCTTACCGTCATGCCATACTTGATGATGAGTTTCATGAGGTCTTCCTCAATAGTGGCAAGAAAGGTCTCACTTGGGTGTTCCATCAGCGGCACTACAAGCTCTAGGATTTTTGCAACATTGCAGATCACCATGAAATCATTCTGGGTCTGGAAAAACAGCATTTATAGTGTTTAACATTTCTGGCCATTGTTACCTATAAATATTAATAACATGCACTGATAGTCAAAAATCCCAACTGATGTAAGATATCTGGTAAAGACCTAAAAGAAAATTTATATAGTTTACATCTGCTATTAAGTTACATACTATTATGAAAGCTAGTTCTGTTTCCTACAGGACTTTCTACTTTCTGAAAAAAAAAATCTGGACAAGCAGAATTTTACCTCTCATCAAGGCTGTGACACACCTGAAAACTTCTGGTCCTGGCAATTTTTTGAAGTCCTACAATAAATCTAGGAACTGTCTGACACATGCACACTAGAGAACACACAACACCTGGAAACAGGTGTCAGCGACAAAATGAAGCTGTGCTATGACTCAATGTAACTTAATCAAATAGGTAATAATGCACACAAATGTAGAAATTACAATTAACATTATCACTGGTTTGCATTATCGTAACAGTATATGTATTGTAAGTGAGGAATCTATGGAAAACCTTTATCTATTAAAGATACATCCTGCAAGAAATTTACTTTCTTTGACAAGTCAAGCTCACTAAGCAGGATAGGATAATTCCCAAATGCTACTATCAAGATATTTAACATATTCAAGCTGACAGTGTACAGGACAGAATTCTACAATTCTTCTCAACCTGTATAAGTACAAAACCAATGTAACCCACTAAATGGGTTGCAGCAAGTAAATAATCAGATAACTCTTTCATACACTTTAGAATCAATTCTAAAAGTTTGTTGTAAATGTGCCTAGAGAATGCTCCTGGGCTGAACCTGGAAATGCTAGGCTATACGTACAATCTAAGCTGATAACTACTACTCTCCAGCCTGCCCGGGGCAGCTGACCTAATGTAATGGATTGCTGCCACCCACTCACCCATGCTCCTCCTTGAGCCATGGCTGTATGATCCTACTCTGCTCCTTCTGCCAGATCAGGGGTTCATCACAACCTTCACTGATCCAACTGTGCTAATCAAAATGCCAGAAAGCAGTGCAATGTTTCAGAGGAGGGGGGACATGTTATCAGAGTGGGAGGAGGTTCACCATTATAGCTCTCTGTGAGCTAAATTGTTTTACAGCAGAATACAAAAACAAGCTAGGGAAGTGAGAAGTGAAATGTGAAAGAGGACGTTTTCCTTCTGATATACTTGCTGTACGTTAGATCACTCTATCTTATGGAACCATACCCTTAGTCTTAAGACTTAAAATTCGTATGTTAAATATTAACTACTTTTAAGACTGGGACCAGTTATTTTATAACAGGTAAAAAACTGGGTCTTAGTCCTCAAGGGAAAGAGGCAGCACAGGTTTCAGTTTCATTTGGCTGTAAAATGTGGAGGCAGAGGGTGAGGAACACCATCTTAGAAGCTACAGAGATTATCAAAAGGACCTAGTATCTTCAGAAGCTATGATGCCCATGAAATAAACCCACAATTTTCATTTTTCTTTTCCTACCTTCAATTTCATCAAGTATGCAAGACAGCCATTCATTTCCATACTTAATCTTTTGGGGAAAAAATAACACTGATTTTCTCTACTTACACTACATTTAGTGGTCAGGTATGGCTGCATAGTCATGGCATGCTTGACCATTAGCTGGGGCCTGATTTTGCTGAATAAGAACAAAGTGGTTATGCAAGCAACCAAGCGACCAGAATTCACACCTTTGTTGTCAGAATCTGCAAAAGATTAGAAAATACAAAAAGGCTATTAAGTCCAAGTAATGTTTGAGCAATTAAAAACATACAGTTTAGACATAATTTTAGTATCTATTTCATTACATCTCTTTCAAGATCAATACAGAATATTCTTACTAGATTACAGATGAGAACATAATGTGTTAACATTTGCATGGGATCACAAAGTATGTGAAAAAAGAAGCAAAGATGCTTCAAAGACATCACTAGTTTTTAAACTATTTACTGTACACAGAACAGTGGCCCAGCCAATGATTTCTATTACAACTGTAGAACATACTAATGTGAAAAAAACTTGTCACATTTGTTTTGGTTTTCATGATCCAAAAGTTTGAGCAAGTTATTTTAAAAATAGTTCTGTTATTGTGGCTAGCTAGTGAAAATTATGGAAGCTTTATCATTATACAGTGTTCAAAAGTTCACAATGAACTTAAAAGCAGTACCTTGTTACCATGAGATTTGGAACAGGAATTCTGTAACTTTTTGTGATAGTAATTTGGACAACCAGTGTTACGGTATTACATAAAAATGAAAGGAGTTTAGCTCCTGGGTTGTAAATAAGATTACCTGATAGAGATTCCTCATATTTAAGAATGTGCTCAACCAAATTGTCAACAAGTTGAGTACAGGCTTTCTTCACAGGTTTATATGAGGCATCCTCTTCTGACTTTAACAGCTGTAGCAGATGAAACAGAAAATGGTTTAGTATTGTGTACGTTCACTTACATTGAACACATGCTGGTTTTATAACAATGACTACAGATACATAACGATTTCACATGACCAAAGTATTTATTTAACTTTTCCACAGAAGTTACATGGTGAGGAAAAAATTAAGGGAAATAAAAATTCAAACCAAAATTCAAGAGAAGGAAAGAAAAATTAACTGCAGTAAAAATAACAGAAAACTTCTACTGAGTTTTGCATTGGGATGAAAGCTAACTTTGTGCTTAATGAAATAATGCAGAAAACAGTAATGTGGTCATAGTTGTCAGCAGTAATTAACGGAAGTTAGAAGGCTTTTAAAAAAAAAAAAAAAAGCAAATGCAAAAGGAATGTTTTAGACACCAAGCAAAAATATCAAACAAAGTTGAAACATAGTTTTATGAACATTTTAATCAGTTAGCCTTCTTCCATATGACTTCAGGTAATGGAATTGTGTCCAGGAAGATCCTTTAATATTTAAGAAGGATTGAGACCACAATATAGCCTTTTTTAGAGTGCAGGCATTAAAAGGCTCTAGTTTACTTGGTACATATTTTCATGGCACTCCAGGCTAAGGTAAAGTCAAAAGGGTTTTTTGATTGAATATTAACCAGTGCATGCAAAATGCAGAGGAGAATGATAATACAGGTTAAGAGATCTAAAGAAAGAAAGCTCAATTCTTAGAAAAATCAGAATAATATAATGCAGAAGTAACCTATAATCTGAAGATTCACTGCTTCTATAAACTGTGCAACAAATATATTGGATGTGAAAATTCACCTACCTACCATTTAAAAAAAAAAAAAATCTACCCTACACTAGATGCCTTGTTTCAGAATTAAATATTTTAGCTGTGGATGTTATGTCACTCATTAATAAAAAGATCGTGCAATTAAAACCAAGCAAACAAAACCCCTCCCAAAACCAAGCAGTGAAGTATTTTTAAAACAGATATCATGGAAAGACAGAAATTACTGTTAGAGACAAAGAAAACTGCAGCAATAAAGATTAAAAAAAAGGTCAGATGTTAAACAGCACCAACTGGTCTGTAAAGGGTTGCTCTTGTAGTACCAAAAGAAATGTTAAAATTCTAACAATGACTGTATCATATACTCAAAATTAATTACTTACATTTTGAAGAAGTTGTTCAAACCAATCATACCCTGTATCTCTACAAGCTGCAACCTAGAAGTATTTTTGAGAATAAACTGGTTAATAAAAAAGGCACCTGAGGAAAAATTACTTCAATACAGATGCCATCTTAAAAGACCAGTAAACATACATAGATGTATTTTCATATGCATTCAAGTGCAATGATTTTGTATCTTTGGAGATCAGAAACTGTCTTTTGCATATGAAAAATAGTTCTCACCATTTAAGTGACCCCAGAATTTGTATTCCATACAATACAATGCCTACACATCTTACTGGAGATTGCTGGCTCTAACGTAAACCAAATTCTGGGTTTGAAGACCATATTGCACAGATTAAAAGCACAAATACAAGCCTGACATATTAAAAATGAACATGCCTTTATAGATATGCATATACATATTTTTATATAAACAAACCAAGCCTTCACTGGTATGATATGTCAGAAACAACTCACAGGTGCTCCAAAGTAGAATTGGCAGGAGAACTGTGAGTAAAGCTGAAGCCAAGCTGACTGACTTCTCAGTCTGGAAAAACACACACTAAACTACCATTTTGAAAAAATATGGAGAAGCAGGATGATGTTTAAACCCATAATTGTAAGTAATTAAGTGAGTACTGCTATTTTACATTTACATCTTGGTATAATTGATATTAAAACACCATCTCAGCACAGTGGTTTTACACAACACATTTTCACTACAAATTAAAGCAATTTATTTGAAATAGGTTTTATTTTGGAGCTATTTAATTTGCTGCTCCTAAAAAGTAGATAAAATTATGCAGATACCAGTTTACACTGAGTAAGAACATAACCCTGTATTTGTTAAAACAGCTTATTAACATCTCAAAATAAATGTTATCAATTGTTTGAGGAAAATTTCTTTTAAGAGACAACTTCTTAATCATGCTTAACTGTATGCTGCTACTAGTAATTCCTGGAAAATGTTAAATATAATAGTTTGCTATATTTTAACTGAACAAGTATTTTATACAACCTAAATATAGTGTGGTCCCAGTTATCATTGCCAGCAGATTAGTGAGCATTTACAGTTTCCTACAGCCTGTTCCATCAGATGAATAATTTTGGCAAATATACTGCCAAGAGGTACAAAAAGAAAACCACCTGAAACTTAAATTACTGTATCCTTAAAAATTACAGACAGTTATTTCAAAGATACGAAAGACATAATCAAATTCTGCATGCAACTTAACTCAAATTTGTTTAACATACCACATCAGTGATGTTTAGTATTTTTCTTGTCATTGCTTCTTTATCATGGTGTGGAGTTGGAGTAAACCAGAGCTTCTGGAATGTCTCATTTACTAATTTCTGAAGGAAAAAAAATAGCAGAACTAAATAAACTTATCTTGGCACATAGGTATTATTTCTAATACATCCATACAACAGATTTGTGGATGATAGATGGGAATTATTCAACTTAAGTGAGACTGTTACAGGAAATGTTATCTGAGACAGACCCAGATCTACTGTTACAAGAGTTACACTGATGTCTAAGTAAGCTTCAGTAAAATGATCACTGGGAACTGATGCTACAGAAAATGGCGTTACCACCTTTCTGCATTGATTTGCACTCCTCAAGAAAACATGATACCCCGAGATGATGAACACAAGATCATGATTTCTACAGCAGAACTAGTAGCAACAGTAGGCTACTTGGGATTTTTCAAAACAGCTATGACAAGGTGGGAAAGAGAGAGAAGCCAAGTCTCTCTATACAAACAGAGGATGTACAATCCCTTCCAATATTTTTGGATGGGGGAAAAAAAATGGAACAGAATGAAAGTGAACAAAATTATTCCCAAATTGCTTATAAGGCATATGGTCATAAGAAGCTCTCCTCATGCATGGAAGTATAAAAAACATATTGAAGATAATGCCTCATTTTTTCTGATGTTGTTAGAAAGGCAAGGGGAAAGAGGAAAGTGAGCAAGGTCATCCTCCTTTCCCAGCAGCATCTTGGATCCAGCCGTTCATTTATATCTTTAGCAACAGTCTTCTCAAAGCTACATGGCATTAACATATCTCAAGTGGTAAAAATAAATGCTGCAGCTTTAAATTTGCAGATTTCAAATCCTACTGAAAGTGTGATACAGAATTATTACAGGTATATTCTCAATTACCCAAAAATTTAAAAATTATTTTCCCAAATCAAACAAAACCATCATTGTCAGGTTTAGGATCTAACATGTAATCTTAGTTTTGTGCCCTTCTGCACAAAGGATAGAGTATGATCACATAAGTAACATTTTAGGTGGAATAACTGATTCATTGAACATTCAGAATGAATGCAAATATAGCACAGATGAATACTTTATAATTTTTATATGCAGAACTTCAAAATACGCATATATTAATGTCAAATACTTAATTTTGGCTTAAAGTTTATTTTGCTAGCGTAAGGAAGTTTTATATGCTAATTTTACTTGTGGGAAAAAAGAAGTACAAGACAACACTTGCAAGAAGAAAAAAAACATCTAGCAAATAACTTTTCAAAATCTTTTGATTTTAAGAACATCAAGGAAACAGAAGAGCTATCTGCTCTCATATAATAAATGTCATACATATTACAAAGGAGCAATGCAATACTTTTTTGATTTTTTTTTTTTTAAATATAGAAACACTAAAATAATGACAATTAAAATCCTGAAGGATATGTTTCTTTCTACCTTAATGCCTTCTTCATCATTGACTCTTCGAATCATTTTCACACACATCTCTGTTATTTTGGGAAATGTTGGTTGTTCAATGCAGATATCCCTAAGTATCTTTATGACTCTCTTTCTGACACTGATACCGGTATCCTGTGAACAGAAAAGCATTACACTCTTGAAAACAAATGAGAAATATGGATTATATGAATTAATATTTGAAGATCACTCAATAGGACTTGCAAAATTTATTTAGAAAAGGCTGCTAAAGTATTCTGGATTTCACTTATATGAAATGTCGGCATAACTCGTACTGCTTTATTTGTAACAATTCTACAAGTTCTGTCTGAGTTCCCAGAACATTGAAACACTTTGTCCATTTATACCCTATCACCTTAGAGTTCACAATGCTGCAGATGTATAGTTCTACTTCTTCATTCAAGAGCTTACAAGTCAGATGTGATGATGCTTTAGCTACTTTGTTTGAAGACAAAAGAGTCTTCATAGATCTGGACTGTAATGCTTCAAGTTTTTGGAGAAAGCTTATGGATAAGATATGTAAGATATAGCAATCTTTTCCATTTTCCTAGGCTTCATCTAAGGAGATGGATGATGAGTTTCACTTCATATTACCTTATTCAAAACCTGTTGAATATGCATGTAGGACATGAAGCTACCTATCTCCAAAACCCTTCACAAATATGTTTCATCACGTAACTATAGCAAACAAGCAGTGTTTGACTAAAAACCTGACATGGATGCTAAGAGCTAGTGTTATCTTACAGTTAAATTAACGTATTTTATTTGAATTTCCAGACTAAAATTTCTTGTAGAAAAACTCTAATAAGAAGCCTTTTAAAATACTAAAAGTAGCATAGAAAAGTGAAGTGGTTTTATCTTTTTTTTTTTTTTTCTTTTGGATTATAAAAGGTACCTTTAGATTACTGTGTTGTATTCTTCATCACCCACACTACTGAACTGCCCTCAATGACCCATATCTCAGACTTCAGAGATGTGGCAAAATTCCTCACTTCACCTAATTTGTGCCATTATAATAGAATCAAAAGGAATATAATCCTGGTTCTGATGAAGTACAACTTTCTATATAGGTTTACCTTTTGATGTAACAAAGCCTCACTGGAAAAAAGTGATGCATTTTACAAGGTTGGTCTAAAAAGCATGATGCTCCCCATTAAAACAGTAAGATATCATTTACTCTTGGGATCGTCATTCCATATTATTAAACATATAATCTCCATTAAAAACAAAATTTCCAGTGCCACTTATTTTATCATAAATATCACAAGTCAGCATACCAATATTCTCTCAATCAGCATGTCATAATACTGCTCAGCAAGCTGAGGACGACAGAGCACAAACCGGCCAAGCAGCTCCACAGCCGCTTCTCGTACACTAGTGGAGTTATCCATTAACCGTCCATGAACACCTCGTTGCATATCCAGCTAGAAAGAACAAATGAAACACAAATTCAAAATAAGAAATGAAGATTTATTTTAAGCATGACAGAAGAACGTATGTGCATGATGGGCATTTCCTTTTTTACCCTGGCAAGAATACTGGGGTCTACAGCAACAACCTCAGACAAACACTTCATGGCTTTTGTTCGAACAGCAATTGCATTTTCACCAAGTACACGGAGAATCTAGTAAGAGAACAAAAACAAAGATTCAATTCCTTTAAGAATGTAGCAAACAATGTTTAACAGGCAAAAGTGCAGCAGAATAACATGCAAACAATTTAACTACAACAAGAATAAGTAAAATAGAATACAAGAGTATCTAGAAATTAAAAAAAGAAAATAAGGGTATCTAAAAATTGAATGTATCTTCTCAGACAGTGAAAAGGTGCATGCGAGTGATGCTCCATGGCACTGGTAACTAAGCATGGATATCTACTAGGATTTGCTACATCTCTGAGACTGGTCCAAGCAGGATTTACACAGAGCCTGTGTGTTCACTTTAAGTCCCTTCATTTTAAACTCTACCTTCATCATTCAGTTGTAGCTTTCACCATAGTTCTTTTAACAGGAGAGTTGGATTTCAGCACTATAATTTTAATAATGGCTCATACAGAGAGTCAGTGTAAGTAATGCAACCTAAACCAGTACTGGAGTTAAAACATGTCACCATGTCAACATTTTAGTATTCTTCTTCCAGAAAAAGCTAAGAAACAACATTGGTCAAACAACAGCTTCCAAAGTAATAGTAACATGCACTGCAAGCAATTCACCAAGATGACTTGTATTTTCAAATCAAATTAAGCTCAATTTCATGAGTTAGTATTACCAAATGAGCATGCATCTTACAGAAACTGTAAAAATTATTTCAATATCTAACTTTGTAATTACATCTAATTATAACAATTTTGCCATACACATTCATGGACAAACAAAACAATGTATGTATAATATGACATAGGAAATGCATTCAAGAAAAATAAACATAATCACTTATGTCACCAATACAGAATATGAAAGCACATGGTGTTATCATGGCCTGTTAAATACCTGTGCTCAACAATGAATAGATATGGCACACTACAGCAAAAGTGTTTGGAATCAGAAACCAACTGTTTCTCACTGTACTAAGACTTCCGGCACAGTTTACCTGTGTCAAATAAATATCGAAGCTCTGGGCAAACGGCCTCATAGAGGCCAAGTAGCGAACAATCAAACATGCATCTTCATAGTCCACAGTATCGGAATTCATCCTGCAACAAAGTCCATGTGTTAATTCGGACATGCTTATCAGAATTATTTAAAACATCAAATGCATGGCTAATAAAGAAATAAGTAAGTGGTACTGAAACATACTTCAAAAGGGTACTGAACTGAGATGGAGCAGTTTTAATGATGCTGCGAAGAAACTTTTTGCGACTTTCTGCTCTGTGCATGATTTGTCCTGTGGTCTCAACATCTTTTGCATGGTGAGTTCCTTCAGATGAATCCTCATCCTTCTGAGATTTAATTGCTTTCTCTGTCTCCATAGTTGTATCACGGAACCACTGCGCTATATAAAACTTCCGAGAAAACTAGAGAAATATGGCAGGATGCACAGAAAACAAAACCAACAGATACAGAAAAAGAAAATTAACAGATTTATAATGAGATTAAGTGAATCTAATGCATCAACAGTACTTTAGAAAATTGTTGTGGTTTGGGCCTGATCGGCAACCAACCCCCGCAGCTAATCACCCTCCCTTCCCCTTCCCCACCTGGGAATGGGGGAAGGGATTAGAGGGGTGAAGGGAGACTCGCAGGCTGAGATAAGAACAGTTTAATAATGGCAATAAAATGAAAACAATAACGATGATGGGGGGAAAACAAAAAGCAATATATAAACAGGCAATGTACAGCGTAATTGCTCACCACCCGCTGACCAATCCCCAGCCCGTTCCCGGCCAGCGACCCCGAGATACCAAGATCCCACAGTCGCAATCCCGGAAGCGAGAGAGAGAGAGAGAGAGAGAGAGAGAGAGAGAGAGAGAGAGAGAGCCCCTTCCCAACCCCCCTCCTCTATACAGTGAGCATGACGTGCCACGATATGGAATATTTCACGGGCCAGTTTGGGTCAGGTGCTGTGGCCGTGCTCCCTCCCTGCTCCCTGTGCCCTGGCGCACGGGCAGGACATGGGGAGTCGGGGAGTCCTTGAAGTCTCAGCAGCAGCTGAAAACATCAGTGTGCTGTCAGCATTCTTCCCATACCAAACCCAAAGCTAAATCCAAAACACAGCACTCATCTAGTCCCTGAAAAGGAATATTAACTCTATTTCAGCCCAAACTAAGACAAAAATACAATCAACAGTATATGTTAGGGTGACAGTTTAATTGAAGCACTAATATGCATAACTGAAAATCATTTTAGTCAGTACACATTTCTGAAATTATTTCTATATATATTTGACACCAGAAAGCTGAAATTTACCACTAATGATGCATCAGTTTCTGTGTTCTCATCCAGATAATCTAGCAAGGCCTTTTGCAGCTGTTGAATTTCATCTTCTCCTCCTGAAACCTGTCAGAAGTAGAAACATAGTTATGAAACAGAATGTTGAACAGTGGTAATTAACACCTGAAGATCTGCACGTCCATATATAAAATATACGGCAGTCAGCTGTTTTGATAACTGCAGAACATTAACAATTTTTTAACAAATTACTTATAAACTGCATAGATGGAGACAAATTAGACCGTTGCTCTGAAGTCTAAAAATGACTAACATCAGCATAAGACTGGTTTCAAAACAGACTAATGGATTAGTTTTCATTCTATGACCTTGTGTGAAGACTCTCTGTTGTAGAGGAAAAAAGGGCTGAAATCACACGTAGCAGACTGACACAAGGTTTAACCTGTAATAGTCACTGTTAGCTGTCTCACCAATGTTAAATATAAAAACAGTGACTTCTCCAGTGGACAAGGCATAAAAGGCAAAAAAAGTAAAATAGAAATAAATATGAAACAGACAACAATAAAAAGGTAGGGGAAACATTGAAGAAATAAATTATCCCTTTGTAAAAATATTTGGTATAAGTTTTCATGGATAAAGCATCCATACAGAGAAAATGCAGCAAGTGTGCTCAATCTAGGAAAGAATTTACAGCGGTTGTTCGCAACAGCCATGAAGAATCATGTTCTCCAAGATTCAACTGAATTTCTATCTCGTCAAAAAGCTTGAGAACAAGCACACATTTTATAACAAGTGTCACCTACTGCATAGAGCCTATTTACAGAATAGGGTAATATAACTTCCCTGTGAAGCACTTGTAAGGTGCACAAAAAGCATTACATATGAAATATTAATCTGAAAACTAGTGCTGGAGACTATTATATTTGTAATATCTAAACTTCATGAGTGTTAAAAAACAATGTATTTTTCCCAAGAGGCTATTTAATAGGAAATTTTTATATTTCCTATATGTATATAAGGCACATGGAGGATGGGAAGCTGATTTGAGACAGCCAGCATGGCTTCACCAAGGGAAGTCCTGTCTGACCAACATCATGGCCTCCTCTGGTGGCATGACTACATCAATGGACTAGAGAAGAGCTACAGATGTCATCTAGGCGGACTTCTGTAAGGCCTTTGATACAGACTCCCACAACATCCTTCTCCCTGAATTGGAGGGAGATGGATTTAATGGATGGACTGCTCAGTGGATAAGGAATTGGCTAAATGAACACATCCATGGAGTAGTGGTCAATGCCTCAATGTCCAGATGGAGATCAGTGACAAGTCGTGTCCCTCAGGGGTCCATACTGGGACCAGCACTGTTTAATATCTTCATCAGTGACACAGACAATGGAATCAAGTGCACCCTCAGCAAGTTTTCAGATGACATCAAGCTGGGTGGTGTGGTTGACATGCCCGACAGATGGGATGCCATCGAGAGGTGTGGGATCATTTTTGGAGGACAATGGCCACGTTAGACAAGAGAAAGACTTTGGCTACATCGCAAAAGGGATGCGAAAAGAGGAAGAAGAACTGAGAGTGCTGTACAGCTGGCGAATGATGAGAACATCTTGACCTTGTTTGGCCAGAAGCCTTGGGAGTAGCAAACAGGAATGTAGAAAGACAAGATAAGGATGCTGAGCTTTGCCTGAAGAAAACATGCCAGGCTATGGTTAATGGAAAACAACTGGTTGTTTCTTAAACAGTGGAAAGTTTTCTACCTTGAGCTAAAAGTGTATAGAACATTGTGTTTGTGCTTGTAAGATTTAATTAACCAATGGTCTTAGGATAGCATTAACTAACTTGTAGCCAATGAATTGTCTGGTGTATTATGGACAGAGGGTAGTGACCAATCAAATGTTAGTCTTAGGCGTGGTGTGTGAACAGTGAAGAATGCATGTAACCAATCAAGCCTTTTGTTTATGTGTGATCAGTTGCTAGGAAGACATATAAGCACACCCATATCGGCAATAAATGATTTAGATTTCTGACTCTTCTAGAGTTGCTGGAGTCTGTGATTCTCCTCACAGAGGGACCTGGACAAGCTTGAGAAGTGGGACCGTGTGAACCTCATGAGGTTCAACAAGGCCAAGTGCAAGGTCCTGCACTTGGTCTGGGGCAAGCCCTGGTGTCATCGCAGGCTTGGTGATGAAGGGGATTCAGAGCAGCCCTGTGGAGGAGGACTTGGGGGTATTAGTGGATAAAAAGCTGGACACGACCCAAAAACATGTGCTCGCAGCCCAGAAATTCAACTGTATCATGGGCTGCATCAACAGAAGAATGGCCAGCAGGTAAAGGGAGAGATTCTGCCCCTCTGCTCCACTCTGGCGAGACCCTACCTGCAGTCCAGCTCTCAGGTCCTCAGCACAGGAAAGACATGGAACTGTTGGAGCAGGTCCAGAGGAGGAAACAAAAATGATCAGAGGGATGGAACACCTCTCCCATGAGGACAGGCTGAGAGTTGGGGTTGTTCAGCCTGGAGAAGGCTCTGGGGAGACCTTGTAGCAGTCTTCCAGTACTTAGAGGGAGCTTATAAGAAAGATGAGGACAGACGTTTTAATAGGGTCTGTAGTGACAGGACAATGGGAAATGGTTTTAAACTAAAGGAGGGTGGATTTAGACTAGATACAGGGAAGAGATATTTTTTTTTTAACATGAGGATGGTGAAACATTGGAACAGGTTGGCCAGAGTGGTGGTAGATGCCCCATCCCTGGAAATGTTCAAGGTCAGGTTGAACACGGCTCTGGGCAACTTGATCTAGTTGAAGATGTTCCTGCTAATTGCAGGGGGGTTGAGCACTGTGACCTTCAAAGGTCCCTTCCAACCGAAACCATTCTATGATTCTATCTATATCCTGATCTCTTAAGTAGTTCTAGCCTATGTAAATCAAACAATGATCTTATATATGACCATGAGACAATGTACTTCTCCTCAAATACAGGTTATAGAGAATAATTCACTATCAATGAACTCATGCACGAGTTTGAAACTAACTTTCTCAACATCTGTAAGACAGTATAAAACCAAACCCATAAACCACCTTTTTTCCCTTAGTATTTTACTGAAATACATAGGCCCTTGCAGTTGCTGATGTTACAGCAGACAAAAGGATTACTTTTTTTCAAAATTAATTAATTCAACAGTTCAAAACATTTACAATGCACATAATACTGACATAGGTTTATATATACACATTTGGCACCCTAATAACCATAACTAGTGTCAAAATATGCGGATGACTGGCTGAATAAAAGGGTTGCTTGATGAACCTTATCTGTGTAACTATTTTCAAAGAAGTAAAAAACCCAGAACAAAGAGAAACTGTGAAGTCCACAACAAATCATATCCAATATTGATAATAAAAGTAGAAAAATAATTTATGGCTTAAAGTTTTTCAGCTACAAATCATTTTTCTTCTTCAGCAATAAACCTTGTAACTTATAACCATCTTAACTGCTGTATGAAGAGCACAGATTGAGAATCTTGCCACAAGTACAGCACGTAATATAACTTGCAAACATCAGCAAGTGGAGAAAGGTATAGTTACAAGTCCAGAACATCATTTATAAAGAGATAAACTAATGAAAAGCATGCACAAGTGTTCAAATCAACTTGACAATCTATGACATACTTCTATGAAAAAAAGTCTACTGTTCAAAAATGTCAAAATAGAACAGATTTTTTTCCTAAATCTAATTCTATGGGTCCTGAGTCCAAATCGCAGTAGAAAGAGTTAGAAGCATGCATCAGTCTTTGGGAAATATCCTGGTAAATATATCAGAGCATAGAAGGAAGTATCCAACAGCGTCTTAGTAGTCAATTCAGCATGAAACAAAAATCTGTAGAGGTCTAAGTTTATTTCTGAATGGAAATAATAATAGAAGTTTCTGATGACAACAGCTGAGTAGGTCTACCAATGGATCTTCTTATTTTCTTGACATTTTAACAGCAAAGTGAAGCTTAGCTGTCACATATACATTTCAAAATTTTAATTTGTTCTTATGTTATAAACAATTTATAAAAAACACACTGTCTACCCTGACTGATGGTACAGTATAGTACACACCTTCCACAACGCATGCATAGTACTGTCTACCATCACTGATGTTAAGCTCCCTGAGTAACTAAAGAAAATGCTTTTAGCACTCATTTGCCCACACCGATTTTATTTTCTGCAGAGGACAGTGCCTAGTTACTGCTTGACCCTGTAAAAACCCCAAGACAAATAGAAAAATTCAGGTCACCACTCAGGTATGCAACTTTTTAGAATATCTTTCAATACTACTATAACTTCTGGACATAAGGAAAGAGTAAAGGATTCTTCTAAAGTATTTCCCTACAAAATCTAATGTAGAATTGTCAGGATCACTGCCTACAGAGGAAAATTTGAACCCCTTAGCACATAGAAGTATAAATTATATCAAGCCATGGACATAAAGTTTTGACACTGTATGTTGAATAATTTCCTAACTAACAAAAGCTAGGAGAAGTATCAGCCTCTTTAAGGAGGAGTTGAATTTTGATTCTCTATTTGAATGCCTATAAAGAGCAGAAGTTTTTCCTTCAACATAAATCTGTAACAGTCATTATAAAGTACATATAATAGATCTGTAGTCTTCTCAGGTAACTGGAAGGGAAATTAACTTGATATGACTACTCTAGATCATGCTGAGAGCAGTTAGTAGTTCAGAAAGACATGTATAGCATCCATAAGAAATGTACAAGTCCACGTTTTTAAAATGACACATGAGATCTATTATGATTATTATACTATGTACTGTGTAGAGCCCATATGCATAAATTCCTTTGGTAATTGTTGCTACTCTTGCAGATTTGGAACTGCATTTGCAGATATGCAAACATGCACTCTTTAAATGAAAAACATGCAAGTCCAGTTAAAAAACCCCCAAACTGATGACCAATACCAGCTACATCACATAAAAACTAAACTTGAAGGACTAACAGTTTAACTCTCTAAAGCCTGTATGAGTGCCATAATCTCAGTTACCACTTTGTAACAGTACAGGTACATACATATGTATTTTTAAGGCCTCTTAAGATCAGAATCCAACTGTTGCTGCATTATTTTCTCTATATTGTCACAAGAAAACTGGCTTAACCACTGTAATTAACCACATCATATGATCACTACTGAGATGTTGCAAGGAAGACATGAGCTAACAAATGTGATGCTTATAAACTGAGTACATTTGATTCAGAAATCTGAACAACGAAGACTGATTCTATACAAACCCAGTTTTTCAAACATCTTTAAAATTTCCAACTATTTGAATGGATACATCTCAATCCAGCTGGCATGGGACCTCTCACGCACCTGTTTGAGGATTCTGGCTATAGATCCTTGATCCATTTTGCTAGTGACTGCATCCTTCCTCAGTCTTGCAGCTACAGTTCCAAGATAGTCAAGTGATGCAACTCTCAATGCCATTTCTGTAGATTTGTTACTGAACTGATGAACCTAAGAAAAACAGAATAAACTGTTAAAAACAAATATATATTTATGCAACTGAGATTCTTCAAACAAGAGATTGCTTGACCTAATTAAAATTTCCACCTAACTTCGATGCTGCATTAAAATATGTAATTTACTATTACATCACAGATACACCACTTACCTTACATTAATGTTTCTTCCTTTATTGGGCCTCTTTCTCTCTACATATACGCCCGTTAGAGTTTTTTAAAATAGACTTTTACATAAAATAAACTGGACAACTAGTACAGCAGACTTCCTTTGCAACAGCATAGATCTTAAGCACCATAATGCAACTTCATCATTACTTACACAAGTATAAAGAAAGCTATGTTTTACCAGGAACAGGACCATAAATATTCTTCCAACAAACAGCTCAAATTACTGTGTTAATTACACTGTAATACTGAAGAATAACTCTCAAAAACCACATTATGCTGGTTTTGGCTGGGAGAGAGTTAATCTTCTTCACAGCAGCTAGTATGGGGCTATGTTTTGGATTTCTGCTGGAAACAGCCTTGATAACACAAGGATGTTTTCATTATTGCTGAGCAGTGCTCACACAGAGCCAAGGCCTTTTCTGCTCCTCACACCACCCCACCAGTGAGTGGGCTGGGGGTGCACAAGAAGCTGGGAGGGACACAGCTGGGACAACTGACCCCAACTGGCCAAAGGGATACTCCATACCATATGATGTCATGATTAGCATATAAAGCCGGGGGAAGAAGAAAGAAGGGGGGACAGTTGGAATAATGGCGTTTGTCCTCCCAAATAACCATTACGCGTGATTGAGCTCTGCTTTCCTGGAGATGGCTGAACACCTGCCTGCCGATGGGAAGTGGTGGTGAGTGGACTCCTTGTTTTGATTTGTTTGTGTTCGTGCCTTTTGCTTTGCCTATTAAACTATCTTTATTTCTACCCGTAAGTTTTCTCACTTTTATTCTTCTGATTCTCTCCCCCATCCCAATGGGGCAGGGAGTGCAGGAGTGACTGTGTGTGCTTACTTGTCTGCTGGTGTTAAACCGTGATTGTCCTTTTTGGTGCCCAAGGTGGGACTCGAAGGGTTCACAATAACAAAAGGTTAGATTGGAATGTTTTAGATTGAATATACAGCTGTTATTGTCGTTTATTTATTAATTGTCAGTCTCCTGTGCTTGCCATGGGGCTTGCTTGCCTTACTGTATTTTCGAGTCTAGTTAGTGGCTGCTTGCTGCTGTCACTGCTTGCTGTTCTGCTCTGCCGCTTATCACCTTACTCTGCTGTGCCTGGGGGCATCCTGATAGCAGCACTGGCGACGTGCCTGGGCTGGCAGACGGCCAGGGCACCGCTGCTGTTTCTGTGCTGCTGCACTGGACAGGCTGGAGCCCCACTGTGAACTCAAGACTGTGACCTGTGGATGAGTCCACATGGGAGCAGGACACCCCTAAGTGTCTGTGGCCATGGATAAGTGCACACCGGAGCAGGCACATCTCTAAGCATCTGTGGCTGTGGTTATGTCTGTGCTGCAGCAGGCATACCTCTGAAGGGAGTGTGGCCCCGGGATAAGTCCGCACTGGAGAAAGTACACCTTAAAGTATCTGTGGCTGTGGCTAAGTCCACGCTGCAGTAAGCCCACCCTGAAGCATCAGGGACTGTGCCTGAGGTCATGCTGGAGCACCTCAAAGCGCGTGGTCATGGATAAGAGCCCAAGACACAGCAGGTACCTCCCTGGAGGGACTGCAGCCTTGGGTAAGGCCATGCTGGAGCAGGTTTACTTCTGAAGGGAGCAGGGCTGTGGGTGAGGCCACGCTGGAGCAGGCGTATCTGGAGGCATCGTGGCCCAAGGAGAAGGCCAGGCTGGAACAGGGGTACCTCAGTGTGATAGTGGCTAACTCTGTGCCACAGCAGGTATGCCCCTGGAGATCCTGGGGCTCATGAATAAGGCTCCACTTGGGTACACACCTAAGGGACTGCAGCGTGGGGATAAGTCTAAGCCAGAGCAGGGGCAAAGGGAGGAGTTCACTGCAATGTTAAACCCCCACCATGGGCTGGTCCAAAGGGACCCAGGGCAGAGATGGTAATGGAAATATACAATCTTTAACAATTTCCACATCAATGACCCTCTAACTCAAATTTTGTTATCTTTATATTACATAATAGCGACACACATAAGAAAACTCTTAAATGCTGCATGTGTATCAACAACCACAAAGCATTCCTGTAGTAGCTTCAGCTGTAATAAACAAGACTTCATTGTAATGAGAAATAAATTAAGATAATAGTTAAAAACAAGTAACCCTTACCAATAGCCTTCCTAATAAGCTAAGTAGCAACTCTGCAGCTGGCCATTCTGGTTTATTGACTGTTGAAAGAAGATCTTGAATGAAGTTCTCAAACAGTGGCCTGTAATCTTCTTCCCCTTGTTTACTGCCACACCTGTTTAAAAGAAAATGCATTTTTTAAGTGAATATAAGAGGCATTTAAGATTTCCTTGTAATGTAAACACAAGTAATGCTATCTTTAATCAGAAAAAACAGTTCTATGCAATTCTAAAAAAATTATCTGAAATATTAACAGAAAATTTGTTTTATTTATTTATGGAGAAACAGTTTAAACAGTTATCACTCCAAGTCGCATTGCAAGTAAAGCAGCTAATCCACAATAGTAGCATTTTGTTCCTCAGATTTTTTTATTTATTGCTTTGAGTTAAAAGTCTGCATTAACTTGGATGGACAAAGTAGGTAAAACTGTAAAGCTCAATCTGAAGTGTGGTATTTAGTAGGTATTGTGTCTATATTCCTTAAGAATGGTCTGATTTATCTGTCAGTGATAAGACATCTCAGTATTAAACTCCAGAAAGGTTAAAATCAGTATGTAAAAAAATCAAAAGATAACATACCTGACAGTGTTTCACTTATATGAAGCATCCCTAACTTTGATACCAAAAGTATGCAGAGAGATTGCTAGATGAATGTTAAACATGCTTTCAGTTTAAGAGTAGAAATTAACACAACAAAAAGCTCAAGATTTATTCTTAGAAATCCTCTGGTTATTCAGGTATACTATATTTTTTTTTCCCTGTTGGGATATTGACATTCCTAACTTTAGCTAAATGAAAGTAATTTTACATTTTTTTTTATATCTTTGTCATTCTGGTTTCACTGCTTAAGTATTTACTCAGCCTTCTATTTAGGCTGAGTAAACACTTAAGTGTAACAGACCTCTAATAAAAGGATCCTACATGAACTATCAAACAGATTCTTAAATGTATAAAGAACACTCTGCAGAATTTCTGTTCCATAAAAACTTTTGTCCAGACAGATCTTGTAGGAATCCATGAGTATATTGTTATCAAGAACTTTATGAGTAGGTATTTAGCATTGTGAAGTAGTTAGGTTTGTCTTAAGGTATGACAGACTTTATTTTGAATTGGTTTTATTGATATGCTAAAAATGCAACAGTACTTACTTCTTCAAGAAAATTGAAAGGAAGTTCTGTGCTGTTCTCATGGCTGTTTCATATGAATTAGTAATAAACACATCTTGATCCACCTAAAAATGATAAGACATAATTGTCTATTATTCTAGTCTACAGAGAAATATGATTTCCAGATCAGCACTTCTCATGCAGCAAATAATTATGGCAGACATAAAATGACAATGTTTGATTACTAGAACACCATAATGAAATATTATGCCAACAAACACAGAAAGTTATTCCTGCACAAAAAACACCGCCATGACTTCTAAAAAATATCTTACTTTCTTGTTCGATTCCTCCTCTGAATTAGTATCTTTTTCCGCTGATGGTAAGTGCACCACACATTGAATAAGCTGCAGAACTAGTGCTGTTACCATCTGAATATACATAGGCTCTCCATCAGTGTCACTGCTGTTTAACCTGTTAACAAGAAAAGACAGCATTAAAACTAAACTACACCAAACACTAAAACTAAACAAAAAAGACAAAACAAATAAAAGGTTTTGGTGCTAAGTAATATCTTTCTAAAATTATTACCACAGCTAGAAATCTGTGTTCTAGAAATTTATCTAGTCATTTGCTTCTCTCTTATGAAGTGTAAGATTTGATCTAACAAAACTAGTATTATTCTCAGGCAGAAGAGATGAACTGAAACAGCCCACATATAGGCTATCAGAGTATCTGAAGTTCAGCAGCTGAAAAATCTACAGGAACACTTAATAAATCAAGCAGCTACACACTTACTAATAAGCTTATTATATATAATGCCATATCCATTTCCAACACAACACACAAAAAATACATCAAACCATTGCCCTAATAATTTATTACTTGTCTATTATTTAATGTATGTAAAATGTACAGGACTTTTAAACAACAGAAAATAGTGACCATGACCTGGACTGACTTCTACAAAAGTTAGACCTATGATAAACTGAGGTAGCAAAACAGACTATGAACTTCAGTATGCAGGTGTCTTTTAAGTGTGTCTTAAGTGTGTCTTTAAATTGTTAAGAACAGTACAGTGTTAAGACAATAATCCCTGACATAAATCTCCCCAAACTATCAAACTATTAACTGGGCACAAAACAGTACATAATTATTATCTTTATGAAGTTATCTTTGACAACTTTTATAGACAAAAACTTCTATCAACTTCTCTGTAAGCTGTACCCTTCCTGACTAGCCATACTGTTAGAGAAGGCCCTTTAACAGACCAGTGTTAGGACTCTACAGATAAACAGTGCAGTCATTTTGGCCTTGAGATACTGACTTCCTTCTGATTCGTGTCCTATTCCAAAGAGTATATTTGCCATTTATGCTCCTATTCCTACCATCTCCCTACTTGCTAGATTTCTCTGATGTCTGTAACAAAAACAATCAAAAATACTAGGAACAAGCACTTATGTTAACATTAGGGTTGCTGAATTCAACTTCAAAGTTTCAATGTATTTCTTTTCTTGGGTATTTCCTGTTCATCCACCCTGGATCAAACAAAATATTCAACTGACAATTTGTCTGTCTCTGGAGGCAAGATGTATGCAAGTAGGGACAAAATCAAAACCAACAACAGATGTTTTAGAATAATTTGAAGTGTCCCAACCTCAATTTTAACTGAAATCCAGTCCAGGCCAGATTCCTTCTCAGACTGAATCTGAACCTATAGTATTATTCTGAAGATGCACTGAAATCCAGCTGAAATGCTTAAAAGACAGTTGAAGTGAACAGAGTATTTCCTAAATGAAACTTATTCAAAGGGATATTAGATTGATTTCCTTCCTGAAAAGAGTGCTCTGAGTGTGTCCTCAAAGAAATTCAGCCAGAATTTTCATATTAAGCTTTAGCAATTAAGAAATTATGTAACTCCGCACAAACAGACCAAAGAGTTTTCCAACAAAAAAACCTTTAACACTAAAATTACACTCACATCCTTAGTGAGACAAATAATAAGATATTTCGATATTTTTTTTAAGGAGATACAAATATGATGGCATAAGAAACAGTGATTATTACAAAACATTTGTCAGGCAATTCTGCTCTCAACTGTTTTGAAATATCAGCCTCTAATAAAGCACAGCTTGTGGAGTGGCAGATTTTTAAAGTATTTAATACTGAAGGCTAAAATCCTAAATCTAGAAAACTGTAAATGCTGCTGTCTACAGATTATTAACCTATGTCAGAAATTACCTGAAGTTTCTCAAACTCCTCTTGCTGGTTGGTAGTCTTGCAAGGGAAGTGAAAATTTCTTCCAGTATTAACTGTCTATGTTTTTCATACCTGGAGAACACCTATTTAACAGTTACAGGATTGTTAGAAAATTATTTATTGTTACATAAAATATCACATGTTAAATATAGTTAGAAGTTATATATAGAAACATACCCTTTACATGACATTTAAACAAATTATAATTAATCCATGCCTTGCTTTTAATAATGACTTTGTTTTTTCAAAGCAAGCATGTCTTTACAAAATACACTAAAACTTTTTCAAGTATAGATTTTTTAAAAATCTTCAAATAACATAAATGTGTTATAGCTCTTAAAAATACCATAGGTTTTACAAATTTCTGTCCATAGTAGAATACACTGTATATAAAAATCAAACAGTGTAATACTAGGCTTACAGACTCCAGTACAGAGCAAAACTCCGAGGTAACAAATTACAGGAACACATGCATGGTTGTAGAGCATATTTGAGAAACCAGTTTTACTTCATATCCTAAGCTTTAATGTTCAACATATTCTTTCAATTTACAGGGTCAGGACTGTGGAATTTGGCTCTCCTTTTGTTTAGGCAGAATACTGGAATATATCATCCTTACAAAGATGGGAAAACTCCCACTTGAACAAGCACACCTGTGTTGCACTCCATTTTTCCTGAAATAATATGGTATCTGCTCTGTGAACTTTTTGCATAGCCACGTCTTCTGAGGAAAATAATTTATTGCATTATATAGAAGTATCCTAATAGTTCTATACCTTATTCCATTGCATGAATTCAAATCTTAACATAGGAAATAAGGAAAACCACACAGCTAAGATTTCTTAAGACAAGAAAGGACAGGGAAAAGGAAGGAATTTGTGTTTATACTTTAAACGATATAACCAAAATTAAGAAGTTCCTTGCTTAAGTAGGATGTTTCTTCCTATAGAGTACTCTGTAAATAGGGGCAGCTCAGGTATATTTAATACTGTTCCTAGATTAAGATACCAAACTGTAAAAACATGCAAAAATAAAATTAGTTCTCAACTCCAATTCTCTAGCAGAGAGAAATTACAGCCTACATAAATGTCCTAACAACTCTCAGTAATACAGGAACATGAAACTGCAAATTGAAAAGTACTTACTGCAGTCACTAATTTGATGGCACATAATTGTAGTTCACTGACATTTTCTACAAAGAAAGGTGTTATTCCCATAGATGATACCTATCAATGTAAAGAAATTATTCTAAGTATATTTGACTAACAAACTGATATTTGTGCAGTTTCACAAACAGGTTATTCATTCAGCAGGTAAGGTATTCAACAAGGTGTATTACTTCATTTTATTTGCAAATAAAGTTATTAAAGGATATTAGAGAACGAGTCCTATGAGAAGTGGCTGAGGGAACTGGGGCTGTTTAACCTGGAGAAAATGAGGCTGAAGCGAGACCTTATCACTCTCTACAACTACCTGAGAGGAGGCTGTAGTGAGGTGGGTGTCTGTCTCTTCTCCCATGTAACAAGTGATATTACACAAGGAGATGGCCTCAAGTTGCACCAGGGGAGATTTAGATTGGATATTAGGAAAAATTTCTTCACTGAAAGGGTTGTCAAGCACTGGAACAGGCTGCCCAGGGAACTGACGGAGTCACCATCCCTGGAAGTATTTAAAAGACATGTAGGTGCTCAGAGACATGGTTTAGTGTTTGAATTGGCAGCATTAGGTTTATGGGTGTAGTCCATGATCTTAAAGGTCTTTTCCATCCTAAATGATTCTGTGACTATATATTCGAATACAATCAGGTGAAACTTTTCTGAAGTGTACAAGAAAAGCCATTAAAGATTTGAACATTAAATGCGCTTCTCCTGCATCTTGCGTACTAGACAACAAACTAGTCACTCTGATGTTAATAATTCAAAAGCTTGTACTGATTTCATACTTCATGACACTGAGACAATCAAACTTTTTATTCTCACTGGGAAAAGAAAAACAAACCAACATTCTCAGACAGAAATTCTTCTGATAAAACTTACCTGAAGAATAGTTGTATCAGTAAGAAGCTGTATCTCTAGCAACTCTGACAAGCTGCTGACAATGTCACAAACTTTGTTATATAACATCACTATAACCCTTTGCTTGTGGGTGGAACACTTGGCACGTTTTGCTTTTGAACTCAAAACACCACCTAGAAAATGAAAAATATCTTAATTAATTTTTTCAATGTTTCACATCAAATATTAGAAAGATGGTTTTCCCCAAAAAGTATCTCCAAAACAACTGCATGACTACAGCTTTGTAAAAGCAATTGCTTACAGAAGAAAAACTATTAAGTAGCATCAGTTGGAAAGCAAGAATTTCACATGATACCAATTTTTCATAATTGCTTTAAATTCTGGATCCAAGATTTTTAAAAAGGTTCTTGAAGTTGGACACCAACATCTAAAGGTATGCATGTGAAAACAAAACACTAAATGCTAAATAGTTTTCACTGGAATAAACCATTATATACACAGAGAGTATCACTATAAAATGACCTATTCTTACTTATAACTACTATACAGAGAAGTTGAACTTCAGAAAAATTTGTAAATACTTTAGTCTAAATATTTTGGTTACATTGACATTATTGCAGTAAACCAAAATGTTGTACGACTAAGTTACTCAGAAGACGGAATTAATTCACTGGTTTTTTTACTTTACATTTCATCATCCTCAAACTAATACAACGTATTAATTCAGGATGTTGTACGTGGTATGGAAGAATAGTCAGTCTAAGAGTTGCATATAAAAATCTTATTCCAGAAAGTCGTATCACTTGCATCAACATACAGTAGATTATGTTTTTAAATTTTTTAATGTGGAAAGAGTTTTAAAAATTTCTTAGCATACTAACCACCATGAGGATCCACTCTATACACAGGATCATACTGAGGATAGAGAGTGTTCTGTAAATGAAATTTTGTGTATTGAATAACTCTTTCTATTACGTCCTCAATATATACAGCTTTAGGCATATTAGGTGATGTCATAATATTGATAGCAGTAAGACAAGCATCAGCAGATTTTGTGACTCTTTCCATAATAAGATCTCTCCATAACCTCTCTTCATCTTCAGTGTCATTGTTCTGTAACAGGCAAGAAAAACAGGATATAGAGTGAACAAGAAGTCAAATTTTTATCCTTACCAAGTAAAAGATACTAACATTATCTTAACATACTTATATATATGCATGTAAAAAAGTTAGACTTCCTTTTTGATACAAAAATGGTTTGTTTTAGAAATCAACTAATGTTTGTTTTACTAGCAACATTTGTAATATGTGTTCCTAAGTTACAAGTGTTCAAAGTCTCACTGTATTGTTCTGCTAGAGCGCAAAAAAGCTCTCTGTATATCAATGGGAAGCACTATGAGGTAAGATTGACACATAATCTATTTAAGACTGATGCACCTTAAGCAAAATCTAATCTCATTCATCTAGTGTTCTCTTCAGTGGCCTGTGCACACCAATTACTGCTTTGACCAGTCTAGTTTTTGCCACTAGAGGGAATTCTTAACACAAAAAGACTGTTACAAGTCATAGGAAACTCATAAGTACATGACTTTCTCTGCTTCACAGACCAATCCACCTGTTAACAATGGGTTCAAAACATGTCTTATCAAATATATCCATTTAGAATGTTTGTATGTCTGTGTTTGTACAAGTTACAAAACCAAACATACATGAGGTTAATTATGATCACCCAGTACAACTTAAATATTGTAGTAACATTATTTATTAATTAACTGCTTAATAATCTTGGGTTTTACTACAAAAAGCTAAAAGAAAAATATTGCTTAAAGCATTAAAACATGTGTAGTACTGAAAAAATATGATCAACTGAATTTTACTTCAAATCTTAAAATTTGACAATCTCAATAACATACATATTATGTCAGAAATTCCTTCCACACACATACACAGCATTTGAAACTATCACTAAATAGAACTCAAGTAATGAAACTGTTCTACACAATACTATGAAATTACATAATTTAAAACTCACATGGTTAAGTAATGTAGAAAGCTTTGATCCATCTTGAATATTCTTCTCCAAAATATTCAAGACTTTTACTGTTTTATCTGTTGAAAGCTAAAGCAAGGAAAGAAATCCATCAAACAACTGCAGGAATATAAAGGCTCCCAAATTGCTGAAAAGAATGTCCACGGATGAATGACAGAACTTGTTATATAATCTGAAACACTTAAATTGTAAGCGATTTGAGATAAGGATCGGATCTTCACTTCTGTGGTTTCTGACACAGCATGATTGAGAAAGCTGATAATATAACTGAAGTAGGTGAAATATATTCTAAGATTGCAAACTGCATTTTCAATCAACAAAATCCATAGAAATAGATTTAAAATTGAATATCTCTCATTAATGTTGTATAATTATACACTTTTGCTTCTAAAACCAGAAATTAACCAAGTCCAAGTATCAATCACAAATTCTAACTGACCATATAGTTTTATTAGGAAAAAATCCAAATTTCATGAGCAAGCAGAAATAAAATGCCCTGATACTTGAGGGATAATAAAAAGGAAATGTATTCTTAATACTAGTGTTAACTTTGAAGAAATAGCATGTTGAAAAAAGTAACTCAAACTCACTTACTGATCTCCTACAGAATTATGATTAAGTAATTTGTAGAATATGCTAAAATTGAAGACAATCAGTTTCACTCATCCAGATACTATCGACACTCACCTTCAGACATAACGAAATTCTGATTTCATGTATATATGCATGTATGTATGTATGTGTGAAAAATAGGGAACAGAGGTTAAGGGGGAGAACTATCAGGAAAGAGAAATGCTTGGGCTGCCAACATGCTACAAAGGAATGTACTGAGACTGAAGAAAATTCCAGGAAGAGTATCTTAATTTTGGATTAAAGAAAACCCTTTGGAATGACTGTTACAGTAAGTGGCTACACAGACACTTCATAAACATAGTAAGAGGTTGCAAGCAGGCAGAGTAAGAGTTTAACATAAGACTGTCCATAGCCAAGAGTTTCAGGAAGGTAAGGAAAGCAGGAACATTGTTTCTTCCAGAGGTGTGATGCCAACAATTCCCACCAACAAAAAGTTCCCCTAAACCAAAGTTAGGAAGGGTATGGCAAAGAAACCACAATATGCAGACCACAGAAAATTAGTCTTATTATCACCTGGAGTTTTATCTCTTAAGTATGAAAGGCCTTTTCTGAGAGACAGGAGGAAGCAGGCAATTCAGTGTGATGCTGGCTGGACATCATACATTTACATTGCACTGATGGTATGTATCAGAAAGGGCTGAATTTTAATTTGCCAGCAGGTTCTGATTTACTGTGACTGCTCAACACCAGCCGTAAGGAGAAAAGCCTATAGGCTGACACGTTTTTGTGAAAGTAAATTAATTATTTTAGATTTTAGTGCTCAGGCATGAGCATTACATATGGGTGTATAGTCAGTATTGACACACAGAAGGACCATTCAACAAAAATGTCTTGGCTTCAGAGACAGTAACAATTAAGATGTAGTAACTTTTTAAGCACTTCAGCTAAGTCAGCAGAAGCACAGCTGTTTACAGTATGTCACATGCACACCTGAAGAGGGTGTAACGTTACTATGGTGTAATGTTACTATGGGGACAGGAGATTTTGTGTATTTATCAAAATTATACGTTTAAAACCAGTTAAAGACTACAAAGATGTACCTTGTCCATAATGCCCATTGCCTTGATTTTTGCAGATTCACTACCCAACTCACTTAGTTGATGTTTTCCTAGTAACAATTCCTGTGGAATCTCATCATCATCACCTTTTAAAAAAAAAAAAAAAAAAATCATATTTCTAATTAACTGAATTAATATTTTTGAATGAATAAATATTTTTAATGAACTGAAAAATAACTGATTTTCCAAATAGCCAGCATCTAATAGTTTCATCTAATGAAGACTGATGAAGACAACTTTTGGTTCTGTTGAACAGTGAATATCTGTTAAACACGGCTGGTTCAGAAATATCATTTAACAGCTTAACATGAGACATTCGTTTCTGAAAGTCATAAACAACATTTTTAATATAGCAAAACCCATTTACTGCAGCTCTTGTGCCATCCTCCTCATTTCAGTAAAATAAATCTTAAATGTCCGTCGTCCTAATTCTAAAGTTCAAATCTCGGGAAGGGCAATGGATGAAAAACACATATGACAAATTACCATGGGATACACTGTGTCTTAATTGTATTTACCCTTACAAAAACCCCATGGTGGTACCAGACCCATAAAGAACCAATGACTGCACTTTTAAGTCCAAGGTTGTATACACTACTGCTTTAAAAACTGTAGTGATTTCTTTACCATGCTCCTTCTCTTGTTCTAACCCTGTGACAAAGATGGTAGGCAAAAAAAAATAACAAATACTCTATTATCCATTTCAACAGAAAGTCACCTTGGTCAACCTGAACTACTTCCTCAGACACTAATGCTAAGCTGGCTGGTTTTCCACTGAAAGGGATAAGGAGCATACAGCAATTCAGTGCCTCAGCCAGAAATGCATAAGGACAATTGAACTGCACAATCAAGCTCTGCTGGGTCAAAGGCTACAACTGTTGCAAAATTACATGCCTCAGACCTGACTAGCAAGAGAACCATCTTATGTTACTGTTGTTTACAAAGATATGTTTGACAGAAGACAGCATCCTAGCCACATTCCAAAGAGGTTATCCTTTCCACTCCAGAAGACTCTCATTATGATTTATGACCCTTTTGGATTCTGCAAGGAGGATGAAGAAGGCTCTTCTTCCTGCAGCAGCAAGTGAAACTGGAAAGGTAAAGGCCACCATTCAAGGTGGAAGCTATATAAAAGCAGTATGCCCTGGCATGTATCATAGGCAATTAAATCACCGAGAAAAAAGTTTGAAAATCCTAAGATACAAGCTTTTTGGGGTTTCTTGTGTTTCTAATTAAGGAAAGCATTTTGAAAATTTCTGACTTATTACCAAAAGCTGTAAAATCCATGTCTTCCAAATTTTCCAAAATGTTCTCTATGGAAGCAGTAAACCTTTTGAAAGTTGAAGAATCCATCATTTCTGGTGAAAAAAATAAATTTATAAATAATTATTTTATATATAAAACAGAAAATACAAAACTGTAGAAAATAAATCTATAAGTACCTTCAGGTGTTAGTTTAGGTTCATAAGCTTTCCTCTTCTTTTGTTTTTCTTTTTTCTTCATTTTCCTAGCCACTAATTAAGAGAAGAGTGAAACAAATACTTTCTCAAAAATTAAATAAAGGATTATTTACATTTTTTACACTTGTATTCAATACTGCATGTAAAGATGTTTGATTTAAAATGTTTAACATATCCATCAAAAATGCACTAGTATGGAGTAAAATTAAATTTTTAATATGATCAGTTACCCTCACTGAGGCTAGGAGGAGGAGAATAATCATCCATATCAGAGTCATCAGGACTGCGATTACGGTAACGGCCACTACCAGAAGACCTCCTTCCTTCATGATAATGACCACTTCTCCTATGGTCACCAGAACTTCTTCTGTCATGCTCTTCATACTCCCAAGCTTCATCTCTATCTTTTTTATGTCTTTTACGAGAAGCTAGAAATGAAATGCATTTTCATTATAAGTACAAAATTTATACTTTTAATAGCTCAAAATTAAATATTTTTAAACATTTAAAAGACATGTACATATAGTGCTTAGGGACATGGTTTAGTGGTGGACTTGGCAGACAGGTTCACTGTTGGACTTCAAGATCTCAAAGGTCTTTTCCAATCTACATGATTCTATGATTTGGAAGTTAAACACTGTTGTATAGCTGTTCTGTAAAGGAAGTGAACACTCTAAAACTATTATATGAAATTCTGTTACTGCACTAGTCTTGTGAATTACATGAAAACTGTGCCTGAAACTAGCAAAGGACATTTGTCCTTTTAAGCAAGGTAAGAAAGTAGAACAAATAAAAATAAGTCTCACCCTTTCAGAAGAGAACACTGAGATAATTTCTTCAGTTATGTACCTTGTGACTGTCACTGGGTATCCATATTCCAATTCAGTGATTGCTTTGCCCATCTAACACAGTGAGTTCCAATGACACTTGATGATCTAGTTGCTTAAAGATAATCTGTTTTGCCAAGACAACTAAAATTTTGTCTTGATATATATTGCAAGAAATTCCATGTAAAGGAGAAAGCTGGAATCACAAGTCTGGTCCAGACAGCAAGTCAGTACCACAGAAGTTTAATATAACCTATTTTCAGTCAGGACCAAAAGGGCAAGCAGAAGTGAATGTTGAAAAAACTGGGCTAAATCTTCTATACAGAAACATAGAGATTTGGTGGAAACTAAGTGAGGGGAGCAGAATGGAACATTCTCTGTTATTTTCAAAGAAAGTCTTGTGTGTCTTGAAGAGGAGAGGGTGCCAAGATGTAATAATAGAAAAAGGATATGGAAGGAGGATGTAGCTTCATCCATGAAATCGGCCAACTCTCCATTATGTAATGCAACAGGATAACTGGGCTAGCAAAGAGATGTGCAACACAGACTGTGCTGTTAAAATCAAAACAGCTCCAAAACAACACATTCTCAACTAGCAGAGTTTATTCTTGTGAACCTGCATATAACAGTTCTGTCATCTGTGTGTCTATCAATGTCACCTGCAGTTTAGAGAAGTATGACTGTATGAAGGGTTGTTTCTGAGCGAAATTGCTCCAACCATTTATACAAACTGGAACTGAATTGACAAGTTCTTCCCACAACCCCAGTTTATGGAGAAGCATAGGAAACATAGCAGGATATAGTTATACCTGCTATACATACCAGGATATAGTCAATAGTCAGCCCAGACTCAGAATTAATAAAAAAAAAAATAAACCTGAAGTTATATTAATGCTCTGCACTGCACTCTAGAGGGCTCTCACTTCTCAAAATGTAGTACAAAACTTCCACACAGAGGTGGTCCAAGTCTTTAAGGTAATAACTCAGTTCAGGCTTTGAGCTGAACTGCTGCTGGATCAGACTTGCTTCTGGAGGCAGTACAGTCATGTTCATGATGCCTGAGCTACTAACACCGTCTAAAATGGTTGAGAGTTAACTGCAAACGAAGAAATGGAGGGCCATCTTGGAAACCTGGAGTGAGTGTACTGGAGAAGAAAATAATAAGTGTTTTATGGGAAAAGATTTTACACATCTTAACTGATTCCTTTTTCCCCCATGAAACAGTATTTTGTGGAGGCAGATGACATTTGTCTCCACAGTTTACAAATCATCAGGATCAATTTAAGATCTGTAGGATGAACTCTGACCCAACTACATCTCCAAGAGAAAAGTAACTTTCAATATTGCTTTCCAGCAGAATTTTAAATTGACCAGTTTATCAGTACCGCACAACAAAACAATGTGTTACAGTTGTGCTGGCTCTGAAAGGCAAATAAGATCAACATGGGAACAGATATTTAGAATCACTGCTCAACAAAATTTATATTGAAACAGATAAAATTGACATTTCAAGAGTTATCATTGATTTTATACATAAAGACTATTCAGAATATAAATACCAAATTTCCTTCTGAATTCTGCCAAATATTTGTGCAATAACACATTTAGCACTTATTGTATGAAAACAATTTAGTCAAATTTTAATTTCTCATAATTTAGCTTAATGGAATGCGCCTTCTTCAAGAGATACTCAAATTGCTTCTATAAAAAACACTATTTCATATTTTTTAAAGTTCAATTTTAGATAAAAAAATTCTGACAATACATTTTTGTAACAATACAAACGTATTCAGTCTACTTGTCACAAATCTTTCATTCTCTTGATCATTCTGTCTTGTTTTAATTCAATTCAGTTCTACATTATGCTTTGAGATATATTTTAATTTATTTTTAAACCAGATGTCCTCACTAAATTGTTTAGAATGATGGCCAGATCTCTTGAGTGGATATAATGAACCTAGAATCCCCTACAGCACGTGATTACTGTGAAAATTTTCCTTAATTTGCTTTACTTTGCAGTTAAGAATTTCTGCAGCCACTGTGGCTAACAGGTAGATTAAATTATATGAAATTCTTGACAATTCTCTCCATTCCCAACCAACTTAAATAAATTTGCTTTACTTATTTTAATTCACTGTTCCAAATTACTAACATCATAAACAGGTGATATGATATGGTAAACAGAGAATAGAGAATCCTGAATGAAGCAAATCATCATTAATCCTTTGCCATAATCAAGACTGATTACAAATTACTTCAAGATCTCATACTCACACTCAAAGCAGCATTATTCAGTTATAATTAAAAGGAAAAACAAACAAGCAAAAGGACATTATTTTCCACTTCTCTGATAAAGATCAGAGGTGTCACTATAATAATTTTTATGTGTATGTGTGCATAAGCACTGCCTATCTGTTGGAGGAGAACTTGAAACATATTAAGAAGCAGAACAAACAAATCTTTCTCTTTTGGAAAAAGCAAAACATTGTGTTTTACAAAAGTTCAGTAAGATGTTTATGTAAGCAGAGGTGGAAAGAGTCTAAACTTGGGAAAAAAATCATTATAAGCAAGATGCCTTCTCAGGTTAACTGCAATAGGCAGTTCTCCTGTAGCCCTGCATGGGTAATGCTGCCAAGATATTATCTGAGACTGAACCGATTCACTCCATTTTAACAGTTTCTTTTCAGACTTGGCTAACTGAGCTACCATAGAGACAAACTAACCATACTCTCACTAGAAAGTAGGAAATCCCTTCCTAACTTAGAGGCATATAATAATTTTTTGACACTTAGGAACTTCATCCAACTGCACAACAAAATTCTAACTACAAGCTTTCTCTCTTCCTGTGAGAACAGCTAATTCAAGAATACTATCATCAGCAAATGGTATTTTGCATCTCTATCAAAAGCAGCTCCAGTTTTCCAAGCAGTATGCGAGAGAAATAGTAGAAGAAGGAGTATTTTAAGAAACTTCGGGGCATTAAGCTTCTCAGTTCATCATGTCACAAAAATCCAAAAGTGGATCCTTTTGTTTACTGAAATTTTTCTTTGCATATCTTCACATGCAAGTTTTCTGTGCTGCTTTAGCAGATACTTCCTTAATCTGAATGGCTAAAAATGTTTCATAGTACAACTGAAAAAAAGAAAAAAAATCTAGACAGTGGCTTCCCATAAGATAATTAGGAAAAGAAATTCAATATCTAGCTACTTTTCATCTTGAGTGACAAACTGAAATCAAGTAATTTTTCTTTTAAAAGAAAAAAAACAGTTCTTGGCCAAGTTGTTGACAGGACAGCAAACTTGCTTTCATATGTTTTAGGGTAGCCAACTCAAAAAAAAAAAAAGTGTATCTTTTTGTACAAGCAAAATATGAGCTTTCTTTACCAGTAAGAACAGAATGATGTACTACTTACATTCAAAAGCTTCTTCACTGTCATTGTCTTCGTCAGAACTGATTTCAGCATATTTTGGTTTCTCATTAACTGTGCTACGTTTGCGCTTGTTCATTTTCACACGTTCACAAAGTGGCATGGTGGATTCAATTTCTGCCAGCAGCTCAGGAGGCAACTCCTTTAACACTGACTGATCTATGCTACCTATTAATGGAGAGTAAGAAGAGCAAACGTGAACCTGAAGATAAAAATAAGGGCCCAACACTACAGTCCTTTCTCAGGATCTGCTTATAGTATATCCACTAATAAAACCATAGTCAGATATACCTGGATGTATTAGACAGCCCTTTTTAAAGTTGAACTTATTGTTCACACTACAATTAGAAATCGACATAATAAATTACATACACAGCTCCTCCATAAAATATTTTGTCAGGCATATAAATATAAACAAATTAAAATCTGTGAATTTCCTTTGTAAAAAGATATCCCTGCTTTACTTCAACAAAATTTAGCCTTATTTCAGTTCATCCTCTGAATTTAACAGGTTTTCTATTAGTGTAGGTAACTTAATAATCACTTGCGCCTCATTAACTGTTGTTTATTGTCATTCATATTATGTAGTGTACACAAGAGAGCAATCTTTCCTTTTCCTGTAAGTAGGGACAATCTCTGGTAGAACCTCTGGGGTCTTATCCCTAAATGGAGGCCAAATCATTGACAACCCAATCTCTGCCTCAGAGGTTTTTTTACTGCCTGCTAGTAGTTTTATAATGCAATGCAAATTTTTTCTTGATTTTGTTACAAAGCAAAGTTGAAAGATTTTTTTTTAATATAGACAAACAACTAGCTGGACCACACCAGGCTTCTTTTCCACAGAAGTAAATAGGTAGACAACATCACACTGTTCTCATCACGTTTTGAAACTACGGTTAGATCCATATGCAGTCAGGATGAAGGAGATTTGCAGTCAACATTTTTACAACTGACACAGAGAAACCAAGTTAATTCAAAAGTACTTTTTGGAGTTTTGTTTGTTTGATGTCTATCTTTATTTACTGAAGGACCTATTGCACAGATTTGAAGATTATCAAAGTAAACTGTTAACCTTTTTCCAACAACAGAACAAACAGTTTTGTCATAAGCGCCTCTGTCTCCTTCCCAAGATATACTATATTATTCATGAGGATATCACCTGCCGATTTCTACTGACACACATGTACAATGCTCAAAAAAAATATGCTTTTAAAAATCATATTTCTAAAATTTATTTCATTTGTTACACTAATATTATCTTCTAATCCAAGATTAGTTTTTTTCTTTTTTTCTTTCCTTCTTTAAACATCTTTACTGGAATTAGAAGATCCTTAATATAAGAAAATAGTTTCCAGCAACAAAATTTTTTAAGTCTCATACATTACCGGTTTCACACGTACCTACATCCATAAAAATTGCCCACAAGCAATGAAGCTAATGATCAGAAAAATATTTTTCTATAATTCTCAAGTATGTTCAGCAAGCCATCTCATTTACAGCGCATCTTTTAAAAAAGATTTAACTTAAAATATCTGTGTTTTCCAACTGAGGTAGGGAAATACCTATGAAGTAAAACTGACAGCGAAAGCGGTCCCTGCTTCCCTCATGCCGTGGTCACTCTTACTTATTTTTGTTAAGTGGCCATGCTGTCCTGGTTTTGGCTGGGACAGAGTTGATTTTCTTCCTAGTAGCTGGCACAGTGCTGTATGTTGGATTTAGCGTGAGAATAATGTTGATAACACACTGATGTTTTAGTTGTTGCTAAGTATTGCTTATCCTAAGTTAAGGATTTTTCAGTTTCCCATGCTCTGGAGCAAGCAGATGCACAAGAAGCTGTCACAATGTGGTTGTCTATGTTGCCGTGACATGATTGTTGTTATCAGGCTGGGCACTTGATTGAAGATAGGCAGAAGCATGCCAGCACAGACAGAGCAGTTCCTCTGGGTGTACCAACAGCTGACTGGATGATGGCCAGGTCTAAACTGGATGCTGCATAGCCATGCACGTGAGCAGTGGTGTCCACACACTAATACTTCACGTCTTTTTGTATGTCTGTACAGTGACTGAAGAGACTTAACTCACATCTAGCCCCAGATTACAGGAAAATTCACATACACAACTTCTAAGACAATTTCCACAGATGAAATTGCTAGAAGGCCTCAGATTCTGGTTCTCTAACAAATATTCTCAATTTTATGCACTATTGTTAATTTCATTGTAATCAGTGGGACTACACACAGAGCATAAAGCCTACAGTAAATCTGGCCAAAGACATTGCAAAAGCCAGCTACAAGTAAAGGAACAAAAGTTCCATTAAGTCCCCAAACAACAATCAAAAATCAGAGGCTACTACTCTCCTGCCTCCTAGGAATATCTGTTCTTGCTTTCCTTATTGATTTTGTTTCCAGGGTAGAACAATACAGAATCTTGAAAAATAAATCAGTTACTACAGTATTAAATAGACATCAATCAAAAAATAAAAATGCAACTACTTTAAATATTTGGAAAAATAACTTTATTTCCATCTGAAAAATTCCAAGTTTTCTATGGATTCCAGTGCTAAATTAAACTAATGTTTGAATTGCACTCTCTCCTGTTACAGAAATTTCAGATGACAGTATAAGCTTACTCTTTTTTCTTTTATTAGGGAATATGTAAGGCTTTCTTTATTCAAGTAGGGAGTAGCAGAAAAGCAACAAATAGAATTATTGGAAAGTTCTCTACAAGCGATCTTTAAAGTTTTTGTTTCTGTCACAATGTTCCCTGAAGCAAATGTGCTGCATGCCCAGTTTCCTTAGCTGCTGAGGACTGTAAATAACAAAATCTAAAAAGTTTTACTCATGCAGTACAGAGGAGTTAAGCATGACTGCACATGTATCTACAATTCTGATACACATGGAAAAGGACTCTCCATCATTTCTGAAGAAATCTAGGGATATTGTATACTGTGGGACTTCAGTCAAGAGCTTGTTAATATTTATTTTACTCTATTATTTATGTTATGCTGAGTCAGGGCAACCCAATTTCCACTGGAAACGTCTTTCTAAATTCCTTTTTTTATACCTCCATATTTTATAACAAAGGTACTGTTTATTTGCTCAGGGTAGTAAAGAAAGATTTAAGAGAATCTAGTTCACCATAAGTATCCAGTCACATGAAAACAAACATTAGGTTATAAAACCCATGCTAATGCCTTTTCAGTTTACGATACATTTTTCAAAAACAGTTAAAAGAATATACAACACAAACCCCTTTGAAAGTATGTACAAAAACATGTATGATCACCTTCAGTTTTTCAATTTCTTTGATAAGTTTATTAAGACCTGGTACCTGCTTTTCGGTTTCCCCTTTAATCAATTACATTCACCTCTAGTTTGCGTGGCTTTTTAAATAGCTAAGGAGAAAGTAACTTTACTAGAAAGTTACTCCACAAGTTAGTAAGAATGCCCCAATAAATTAGCTTTCTGAAGAACTGTTCTCATCCACAGATCAGTGTAGACAATATGCCTGAAATGGGCTATACGCAGCAGTGTTCTTCAAACACCACATATTCTCAAAGTTGCTGCAACTATTAAAACGAACAAACAAAACTAGAAGTACCATCATAATAAAATCTTTGTCTTGCTGTAAAGAACAGCATGCTAACAAACTCCATGTTAATGAAACTAAAGGGCAACTCACAGAATAGGTGTAAGAACAATTAATTTCAAAGAACTGCATACACGAATAGCTGCTTCTTTAGTGCTCCTTCAAACATATGCAATGCTGTCTATGACTTACATATTAGTTGCTTGCTAGAGGAAGAACAAGTTACTGTTTTTGTTTGTTTGCCATTATCAAAATGTTTCTTAGAGAAGATATTCAAGAATCTTCAGCTGTTACTGAATATCCAGTGACCATCAAGATATTTGTTTTCTCGCCAGGCAAATCTTGACAGCATATAATACAGTCAAAGATCAGGCAGAGAATCTTAGCTGAAGTTAGTCAGTCTGTAAGCCTTCTCCAATATCCTATATTAATCTGGGAAACTTTTGAAATGGCTTTGCCATGTATAATAGAAATGTTTACACAAATATCTAGCGGATGTATTATTTCCCTTCTTCGTGTATGGTTTAGGAAAAGAATGGAAAGGCACAGATCTGATTCCAAGTTCAGCATTGCTTTTTGTTCATAATTTGATGGGTAGTTTCAAGTTCATAGAACAGCCTTTAAATTTAGCTAATATTTACATATATCTAACCTTTAGAAGAATCCAAAATTACTTTGCCTTGAATTTACAAGTCAAACAGATTGCCCTGATCCAGGCAAATGAATGTCTTCAAGAGAGGCTGAATGTTAAAAAAAGGTAACATCCTTATGAACTTTTACTGGATCCATTCAATATGGACAGCACAATCGTTTTTCAACACAAAAATCAGTGTGTTCCTATTAGTTTCACCTGACTTTGATGTAACAAATTCAAAGAAGCAGCTATGGAAAAGGGGATGATGCTTGCTGATGCTTAGGTCTGTTTTCCAGGATCACAGAGGCCATTCCTGCCATAAAATCAAAAACAGTGCTAATAAACTCTGTCATCTTCTCACTAATGATTTTTGTTTGCTTTCCAAACTATGGAAAACAGATGTATAGTTTACATTTTGGTGCAATCTCCTACGAACTAACAAGCCATCAAGATTCAAATACATTTAGAAACCTCAACTCTGAATTGCTACTTCCATGACTATGAGAGACAGTTCATACAGTGGAAACAGTCTGTATCAGTTTGCTTATATGGTTACTTTTAAAATATCTGTGACATCAAAATGGCCAATTTGCACATACAACTATTGTGGCAAATGAATAAGTGATTGAAGAAAAACTGCCCCTGAAGTTAATTTCAAAACTGAGGTTTATGTTAATGAAATCTTTTGCATAAATTAGCCTTCCATAAATACTGTATTTTCTATTTCTGTGTGCTAACAGTCTGTATTAAGCAAAACTGCAGTTAATGCAATTTCATACTTTTAAACTCTTTATATATATTGTATTTTAAAATGCAACTTTTCCCAACTACTTAGACATTATACAAAAGAACACACAAGGGTCTCAGATGGAACAGTGTCACTGGTTTTGGGGTAAGGATATGAATCTTAACTTTGCATTTCTCAGTGTTCAGGAATTTTAAATTT